TACCTCGGGTGGATCGTCAACTTTCAAAAGTCGGACTTGGTACCAACTCGGGATCTACAGTACATTGGGATACGCTTCCAGACGGGAGTCAATCTGGTCATGGTACCTCAAGACCGTTGGGACAAGATTGTCAGCAGCGTTCCGAGACTTCTACATGCCCCGGCGTCGGTGCACACGTGGCAGGAAGTCCTCGGTCTGTTGACATCGGCCCAAGACCTGACTCGCCGAGGTCGTCTTCAACTTCGTCCGCTGCAGAGATTGCTGTACCCCCACCTGGAGTTTCCCAATCTCCTGGTTCCACTTCCGGCGCAGCTACGTTGTCATCTGGAGTGGTGGCTCCAGCCGTCGAACGTTTGCGAAGGCGTCTTTATGAGCGAGCCTCCGTTCATACTACACCTATTCGTAGACACGTCATTGGAAGGCTGGGGAGCACACTTCGGGGACGACCAAGCGGCCGGGCTGTGGTCGCCAGTAGAAAAGGTCCTCCACATCAACTGCCTCGAGATGGAAGCAGTGATTCGGGCGGTCGAGTTCTGGAAACTTCGACTCCGTCGAAAACGGCTGATGATACAGTCGGACAACTCCACAGTCGTCCACTGCGTCAACAAACAGGGAACGACTCGGTCGGCGGCCCTTCTGGACCGGACATTCAGGTTCTTCGCCCTCGTCGACGACTTGGACATGGGCGTACGCGCCCGTCACATCCCGGGGGCCAAGAATGTGATAGCCGACGCCCTGTCGAGACCATCGAGGCCGTCTCCCACGGAGTGGATGATCCATCCGACAGTCTTTCATCTGCTGACAGATCGACTCTGGTTGCCCCAAGTAGATCTCTTTGCAACTCGGTACAACAACCACCTCCCTCGATTCGTGTCGCCGGTTCCAGACCCACGGGCATGGGACCACGACGCTCTAGCGATATCGTCGGAGGGTCTAGACGATTACGCGTTTCCGCCAACGGTGCTGTTACCATCGATACTGGTGAAAGTTCGTCAAACGGCCAACCTACGTCTGCTTTTGGTCGCGCCTTATTGGCCGGCCAGAACGTGGTTCCCGGAACTTCTTCAGATAATCGATCAACCACCGTTCCCGTTGCCAGATCGAGACGACCTCCTTCTTCATCCTCACACCGACGACTTGCATCCGGGGATAAAGAACTTCCAGCTTCACGCCTGGGTTTGCCTCGTTACCTCGTTACCTCGTTAATGAAGAAAGGCTATTCGGCTAAAGCGGCAGCGCTTGTCTCGTTGGCACATCGAGTTACGACTCGTAAGCTGTACGATGACAAGTGGACCACTTTCTCCATTTTCGCCAGGTCTCATGGCTTCAACCCGGCGGTAGCGACCCCACCACAGGTGGCGGAGTTCCTAGTCTCTCTTCGGTCATCTCGACGTCTGAAAGGATCGACGATCTCGACATATCTGGCAGCTTTGGCTTCGGTGGTGCCGTCTCCTACGGGCGACAAGCTCACTAAAGTACCAGAGTTGCAGAAGATTCTACGTGCCTTCTTGGTTGAAGATCAGTCACGTAAATTCCGACCGCCGGCCTGGGACCTCGATGTCGTTCTGCGCAACCTGTCTAGTCAGGCTTACGAGCCTCTCGATCAGGTCGCGTTCGACTTATTGTCTCAGAAAACGGCTTTCCTTCTCTCGCTGGCTACGGCTGCGAGAATTTCGGAAATACATGCCATTGACGTCGGTCGGATTACGTTCGATCAGCGTAACCATGGCAACGTCCATCTTGGTCTCAGATGGGACTTTTTAGCGAAAAATCAACTTCCTGGCCAAGATCCGAGAATATTCCACATTCCTTCCTTGTCTGCCATTATGGGCCCTCATGATCACGCTGATCTCACCTTGTGCCCAGTTCGTGCGCTTCGTATTTACCTGCAGCGTTCTGAACAGCGACGACAACATTTTCGACGGCTGTTCATACCGCTCTCAACCAATGCAAAGAAAGAGATTACACGTAATACTCTCTCATTTTGGTTGAGAGCGGTAATTCTCAGAGCTTACGAGGCGCAAGGACTCGCACCTCCCACCTCCTCTCATCCGCACGAAGTTCGAGCCATCGCTTCAACATTAGCACTCCACAGTAATTGTTCGCTACAAGCTATTATGGAGGGCTGCTTTTGGAGATCTACTTCAGTGTTTGCTTCGCATTATCTTAGAGATATCTCCACAGAAGATGTTGAAGGACTCAAACAGTTTGGTCCACTCGTGGTGGCACAACAGATCTCTCAGAAAAGACAGTGAATTTGTGTTTTATTCACTTTGGAGTTTTTGCTCGACACTTCGTGACATATAACAGGTTACAATAAAAGCTGTTGGTGAATGTACGCATTCTTATGGTTTTTTGTTGCGTGTAGTACTTCTGTTTTTTATTATGGTTATTCGGTGTATGCATCGTCTTCCCATACATTGTAATACTGCTCGTATTTTTTAGTTACCTTGTCTACGGCGAGTTGTTCTGTAACTAAATTATACGCCGACCACACTTCGATCGCAATTCAACTGACGTGTGCAGTTGTCCTGTCGCTTCGATAATTATTTGTGAGTCGAAGAGCATTAAACATGCTGTTTTAGTTACCTTGTATACTGCGAGTTGCTCTGTAACTAAACTATTCGTCGACCACACTTTGATCGCTGTTCAACTGACGCGTGCAGTTGACCTGTCGCATCGATAATTAGTTGTGTGTCGAAGAGCATTAACCATGCTGTGCGTTCGTGATAAACAACTTGTCTCGTCCGTGCATCTGGTCGAATGTTCTATTGTCACTACAGGGGTGAGGAACTTGGTACATTCGACGTGAAAGTGGTCACTGCCTGATTACTTTCCCGACCCTCCTTCCAGTGTTCCGTCGAATTCTACCCATTTGTACGACTGAAAACAGACTAAAACATGGGTTTTTCAGATTAAAAACGATGTTTTATTGGTCTGTTTTCAGTCGTAAGTTCCCACCCAGCCATCCCCACAGGGAAGTAATCCAGTCCAGTCCTGCTTGATGGCTTATTCTTCGAGATTTGTGACATGTCATAGGGAGGTGCGTGCGCAACCGGACGGAAACAAGTTTAATGTTTACATTCCAGCTTCTGGCTTCCTCTTAAACGTGCGACTAGACGTGAGGGTATGAGAGATACCCATTTGTACGACTGAAAACAGACCAATAAAACATCGTTTTTAATCTGAAAAACCCATATATATATACATATACATATATATATATATATATATATATATATATATATATATATATATATATATATATATATATATATATGTACACTAGGTCATATATATATATATATATATCTGTTTTTGAATACCCTCAATAAAGAAGGGATAATAAATTTTGTATAAATTTCCATATCATTGTTACCATAGAGCTGTGTTTTCAAGCAAATGTGAATTCTTTTGTTAAAAGAAAAGCCGTTTCCAAACCACACCTAGCCTTTTCTTTTCTGCCAACCTCTGAATGCAAATATGAAATCTTAATAATAGTGCTATTGACGTTATAATCACAATATAACTTGAAGCATTTATCAAATCATAAAACACTTTGAACTGAATAAACATGATCATACATGAAGGTCGTGAGAAACCTTCCTTTGACACACCCTGGTTTGTCTTGGCATTGTAATTATTTTAATGGCGTGATTTCCCACTTGAACTAGAATTAACATGATCATACTTGCAGGTCATGAGAACCTGTTTCTTGGACCCCCCTGGTTTGTATTGCAATTGTTATAATCTGAAGGCGCGACCCCCCAGTGTGGTACCTCCAATGTTTAACCCAGCCCAAATTTTTGGGACCCTCTCTGGGGGGTCTGGCGGACCTTATGCAGAGGACAATTTGTCAGGTATGGGCCGTGTTGTACTCAGTAACATGTACCTGTTGATCTAAACTTACTTTCATCTGGTACTTTGAATGTATACTCTGGTCAATTTTACCAGAGTGTCCACTGAGTGCATTAAGGGTCAACATTTGGGGGTGTCTGGCGGGCCTTATGCAGCAGACGATTTGTCTGGCAATGGGGTTTTTATTCTTAGTAGAGTGAAATAGTTCATTTTATGTTGATTTCATGTGGTACCTCCAATGTTTAATCCAGCCCAAATTTTGGGACCCTCTTTGGGGGTGTCTGGCAGGCCTTTTGCAGAGGAAGATTTGTCTGGCGTGGCCCATTCTGTACTCTGTGAGATGTAACAGTTCATTTACACTTACTTTCATGTGGTACCTCCAATGTTTGATCCAGCCCTTGAATGGCCCCTTCTTTTGGGGGGCCAGGGGCCACACGAGCAGGGGCTCCCCGGCAGACATCCATATATGAATATGTTGGGTTACACAGTAAATGTTCCTGTGTTCGAATATTGGTACCTTGTTCGTTTGACCAAAGTGCTCTGGGCTGCCGGTCTATTAAGGATGTTGATAAAATGTACAAGCTTTAAACATATTTAACCAAATTTTAACAATGATGACTCCCTAAATAGAATCTGAACTCGGAAATGTCCCACAAGTCTATTTTATGAACAGGTGGGTTTAGTTTGTTGTTTCCTGCATATTCTCAAATTCTCACGTCGATTATCTGAACCTTTTCTCCTAATACAGATTGTCATATCTCTCCCACTTTTAAATGTGATGCTTCTCTTGATGCTGTATTGATACATCAGAATATTGATACAAATATATATTGCGCACATTGAAATATTTTTAATGTTTGAGGCATTTTGTAAGAAAATACTTTGTGCTATGTCATTGAGGTACAAGTACAAAGTACAAATGTCTTGTTAAGATATATATATATATATAGCTAAGAAATGGAATGGATAAAGAAAGATTTCTTGTGTAACGTGCGTAATATTTTTCATTTGACATATACGTGACAGCACTAAATTACTTTTTACTCCTGTCTAGCATTAGGTCATGCATGTTTCATTAATGACATTGGTAGATTTACTTTTGTTGTTCAAATTGATATCACGACATCATGGGATTGTTTCAGACCCTGCTTGTAATCGATGGCTGCATGTCAAGGGAGATAATTCTGGATTACCCGGCCAACTTCTCACGGAAGCCAACGTCGTCCCAGCCAATGCTGCTGGTGGGGCACGTGAAGGAGATGCCTGCGGACATGGGACATTGGCGCCTGGGCAACATGATGGTCTTCAAGACTGCCAGCCTCAGTCGGGAGTGGTGGTTCCACCACTACAGCCTCGGCCCAAATCTGACTTCGGTCAGTAAATGTGACTGCACAGACATGAACTCCATCTATGTCCCGTACCTCACCAAGGACGTCCTGTGTCAGGCTGATCTCTCGCTGGATGTCCTGGTTGGAGCAACTACGTTGTCGGACATGGAGAAGGCAAGGGTAAGGAGGCTGAGGTTCATCATGTTTTGTTGCCATGGTTACGGAGATATATAACTGCTGATTAGAATTGGTGTTCTGTTTAACATAACTGTGTGTCATGACCTATTTAAGAAATAATATATTCTCTCTATTATTCTCTGAACATTCTGTAAGCATTAAATATCTATTTTTAGTGTGAGCTCTGGGTTACCATTGTATATTCAGAATATTGCCTATTTTCCACTTGTCCTCTCACTGTAGACGTCAGCTGTTCTGACATACTCCGCTCAAACACCAACCTGCCTGAGCCAGTACTGCTTCAACAGCCTGCATGAGATGCTGACGAACCTCGGACTCGTGCACCCAACAGCATCCCAGGATCCTCTGCTCTTCCAGAACCCAACCACCATCAAGTGGACAGAGCTCGGCCGCCTCCAGAACCAATCTCACCAGACACTGGAGAAAGCTGTTGAGCAGGTCGGAGGCGTCCAGACATTTGTCTTCATGGTGGCGAAGGTACTGACAGGGAAGAAATGAAACATAAATTACATATTTCATTGTACAGGGAATAGTAACATCGTCGATCTTTCTCCCAATGGCATGCCCCTTGAAGTGTCTGTTCCTAAAAGAAGGAAATGCATAATATTATGTTCATATTGATATTTTCTCAGCCTCAGATTTAGGTTTTGACCACCCGATTCTTTCATATTACTATAGTTAATCTTCCTGCTAGGACAGATTAACTATAGTTATATGAAAGAATTGGATGGTCCTTAACCTATTTTAGTTGTATATTTGGACATGAGACTTAAATGTTGTGATGTCAACACACTTTTTCAACCTCAAGTTATTGAATACCAAACTACATGGCTTTCGGGAAATACAAGTCAAATAGGTTATGGTAATTTAAAAATAGGATTTCTTATGCTGTAATATCCAAATTCAACATTACTGCAACTGATATTGTCCTCTGTTAGATCTACGAGGGCTGTAAGGATGTGAGCGACCCAGCGGAGCAGCGCCGGGTTGAGAAGCTGCAGAGTAAGATCCTCCGACTCTTGTTCAGCCTCGTCCACCATCTGCCGCAGATGGCCCTCGAGTTCCACAACATCCAGGGCTACGCCATGTTGCGTAAGGTCCTCATCACCTCCAGGAGCATTGTGGGATACGAAGTCCTCAAGGTTAGACTGCTTGCTGTATGACAGCTGGGGCTGTAGGTTAGACATGTTGCTGTATATAAGCTTGGACTTTTGAATAATGTGTTACGGTAGATTGCATGAATATTTGTTTCGACTATTTCCAGTGTGATGTAATATTTTGACTCGCTCACTCAATCGGTATAATATATTAGGGTCAATCGTACACAGGAGTAAACACGATGAATATAGAGTCAAAAAGCCCACAGTTATTTTGTTAGTATAGTGGTTATGTAACACATTAATGAATAAACACATAGTCTTTCCAAACAGATTTTCCCTTGTCTTTACTCATCCTTGTGTGAATTTGGGCTCTTATAACATCTGAATTTGGTATTCATTGAACATAGTCTGATGTTGGTGATGTGTACCGTTGTAGGCACTCCTGGATTCGTGTACATCCGAGTCGCTGTTCCGACCCGATGCCTCCGCTTGCATTCCCATACTGCGTCTCGGAACTGAGGCCGTCGTGCGTGACATCTCCATCCTACAGCAACTGCTGCTGTCGTGGCGTGTCTGGGAGAAGGCTGAGGAAGGCGTGCTGGAACTACTCTTCCAGTCTCTGCAGACGCTGATACGTCCAGACCATCAACACCGGGATGTCAACATTAAGCAGTTCCGCGCGGGGGGCATTATGAACAAGATATTCTATATTTATCTGGTACGTTGGCACAGTCATGTTTTTGATGTTCCGGTGAAAGTTTTGGGGATACTTTGCTGAAAGTAGTCCAGTTTGCCTTGTTCTCTCCATATGGTTGCTGGTGTAGAACTAATCCTGACCACATCCCTCAGTGGTAGCCTGAAGATGTCAGTCGATGGTCCTGTGCACAGCTCACAGGTCGCAAATCAGGTGAAGTTAAGAACTGTTGGTCGTGGAGAGTCCTTGGATGGGTGACCCTTGTTTGACAGGTTGACCCCTGAGAGTTTCTTGGGCTTTGGTCCTGCCCCACACTGAAGCGCATGCACATGACTTTGTTCAAAATGTGCTTCTGTTCATCCAGCAGTGAATGGGTACCTGGCAGGATGAGATGGCAGTTTGGTTGTTAACCTAGCGCCGCACAGGCAGTTGGTTTCTATACTTCCTAGGGAGCTGAGAATGATGTTTGAGTGCACACGGATCCATTGACCAGGGTAATAATAGTGTAGTGCTTTGTGCATGCCTCTGTAGTGTGGAAATAGCACAATAAAAATAGGTCTATTATTATTATCATCATCATCATCATCATCATCATCATCATTAGTAGTAGTAGTAGTAGTAGTACACTGACTCGTTCAAATTGATCAATGGAAAGTATCACAAGCCATGAATATTTCAGGAGCGTATCCAGGAAGGCCTGCCGTCGATGACTCCAGTCGTTGGACAAGCTGTGTCTGCCATAGTAGAGGGCATGCTGGGATTTCCTCCAGATCCAGTCATGCTTGTAGCGGTCACTGACTTCCTGTTGCTGGTCCACCCTGCGGCCAGCACGTTTGTCGTTCACGCCACGTCCAGTCACTTCCTGCGGTGCTGGTGGGGTACGTAGACATCGGGAACAGATACCAGACAGCCAGAATAATTTCATCATTCAGTGCATCATCTGTCTGAAGACCTTGGTTTCTAGTTACTATTGTTGATATTGCTGTTGATATCAGTTAATTTTAAGAATCCCAAATTGGCTTCCTTTCTGTAGTCAAAGATATGTAGTTTGGTACTGTATCTGATCTAAACATTGCCTGTTTCTGACTGTAGCAAACACGTCTGCCAAGACAACACCTGTTACAAAAGTCACTGTGCGTAGCCGATCTGTGAAGAAGTCTGTATCGGGGTCAGAAGGTCAGAGCGAGGATGCAAGGTCAAGGACAGATGATGGTAGCAGCAATGCCGGTAAGCTTTTGTTAATACTTCCATAAGGACAGATGTGGTGTTTTGTCGGGTGTGAAATTGTAGCCAAAGGATTTACAATCAACTTGAATTCTTTCAATTTATGGTTTATATTGTTGGCCTTTGAAATTTTATGTTCACATGGTGATATGAATTTCACAAATTCTATCCTTCCCAGAATCACTAGGTGACCAGGAGGGTTCAGCACTCAGGGAGTCTGAGTCTTCTCAAGGGAAGGAGGACCTACCTGTTCCCCCCTCGCCAAACCTCAGCACATCCGAGTCCACCGATTTCCCCCCATTACATCCCAGCCCGTCCATCAGGTCCACCCCAGGCTTCTCACACTCCCAGAGTGGGAATGAAAGCTTGCGGGGGCAGGAACGAGAAAGGACACACACCCTGAAGGAAGCCTTTGTCACCGACACTGAGTCCACCAGCTCAGACAGTAGAGGAGGGAATGGGTACGAGGGCAGTGAGGAATCGGAAAGGCAAGGGGAGATAACTGGCACTGGTCAAAAGGCTGTGAGTAAAGATTATGAGGGCTCCGCTGTCAGTGATGAGAGCCAGCAGACGTCATCTCTGTTGTCTGCTGCAGAGGGGGAGAAGGATGAGGATGAGGAGGATGGTCACATGGAGTTTGATGAAGACGAGAAGGACATGGGAGACCGAGATGTGGGTCTGGTCACCCTCTGTGCTAGTGAGTAGATTCATAGAGGCCAGAATTCAGGTCCGTCTGTCCAAGATATCAATGATTGCACAAATCTGCTGATGGGTATATTTGATGAATAATCTTGTATTTGATAAAGGTTTTGAGGAATAGATTTTATGAAAAGCTGTTGCCATTTCCATGGATGTGATATGGTACAAGTCAAAAGGACTTACCTGACATTGAATTTGTCTATCGGAAGTAGGTGATGTTTGAAATAATAACTAGTGTCAGTTGCCCTCAGCTTCCTGAATTTGGCAGTATGGAAAGAGATGTCATTTCCTCAACTTTTTTATCCTTTGTGAGTGAGTATTGTTTAATGCCTTTTTTAGCAATATTCCTGCAACATGACAGTGGGACACACCCGAAATGGGCTTTACACATTGTACCCATGTAGGGAATCAAACCAGGTCTTGATAAGCGAATGCTTAAACCACTAGGCCACCCCACCACCCCATATCCTTTTGGATGTTCAGCCTATGGCAGGCCTACACTGTAGCTGGGCGGGGATCACCTGTGCCATGTTTGTCTATTGTGGTGGTTGTGGTGCACTTCCATCTTGCTTGTCTCCAGACCTGCTCAACTACCTGTGTGACTTGATGGGGAGACTGCCCGAGAGTTCGGCAGACAGGGTGTATGACAAGGTGCTCAACTCCGGCAGCCTCATCGTCCTGGCCCAGAACAGCTCCCCGCAGATCCGAGAAGCCGTCATTAGGGTATGTGTCTCATGCAGACTTGTATAATGTAGGAAGTTGGAACTTATTTTATTCAATGAACTGGGGTCCTAACTTTATCCTTGTTGGGGTTAGTTGATGGGCTCCTAACTTTATCGTTGTTTGGGTTAGTTGATGGGGTTCTAACTTTATCCTGGCTGGGGTTAGTTGATGGGGTCCTATCTTTATCCTTGTTTAGGTTAGGTGGTGGGGCCCTATCTTTGTCCTTGTTAGGGTTAGTTGATTGGGTCCTACCTTTGTCCAGGTTGGGGTCAAGTGTGTCAGGTCCTAACTTTATCCTGGCTGGGGTTAGGTGGTGGGGTCCTGTCTTTGTCCTTGTTGGGGTTATTTGGTGGGGTCCTTACTTTGTCCAGGTTGGGGTTAGTTGATTGGGTCCTACCTTTGTCCTGGCTGGGGTTAGTTGGGTCATGTCCTAACTTTATCCTGGCTGAGGTCAGGTGGGTCATATCCTAACTTTATCCTGGCTGAGGTCAGGTGGGTCAGGTCCTAACTTTATCATGGCTGGGGTTAGTTGGGTCATGTCCTTACTTTATCCTGGCTGAGGTCAGGTGGGTCAGGTCCTAACTTTATCCTGGCTGGGGTCAAGTGGGTCAGGTCCTAACTTTATCCTGGCTGGGGTCAGGTGGGTCATGTCCTAACTTTATCCTGGCTGGGGTCAGGTGGGTGGGGTGCATGGTAACTAGTGTCCGAGTGCCCTTGTAACTCACTCATGCATGATGTCTGTGTTTCAGCTGATCGGGATGTACACTGTGATGGCTCCCCAGCAGCACCTGGAGAACTTCCTCAAAATGGACGGCTTTTCTCTGTTAGCCAATCAGATCCACCAGTACCCGGCCCGGAAGGAACACATTGAAGCTGCTGTCTCCATCCTGCTGGAACAGTCGTTTACTTTTGATGATGAGTAAGTTTGTTTACACTTGAAGATGAGTAACTTTGTTTATATTTAAGTCAAGTAAGTTTGTTTACATTTGAAGACAACTTAGTTTTATTTGTGTTTAAGTCAAGTAAGTTTGTATACATTTGAAGACTTGTAAGTTTGTTTACATTTGAAGATGAATGAGTTTGTTTACATTTGAAGACAAGTAAGTTTGTTTACATTTGAAGACAAGTTAGTTTGTGGACGTTTAGGTCGAGTAAGTCTGTTTACACTTGAAGACGAGTAAGTTTATTTATGTTTAAGTCAAGTAAGTTAGTATATATTTGAAGACGAGTAAGTTTGTGTACGTTTAAGTCGAGTAAGTTTGTTTACTTTTGAAGATGAGTAAGCTTGTTTGCATTTGAAAGATGAGTAAGTTTGTTTTCATTTGAAGTCAGATAACATTTGAAGACGAGTAAGTTTGTTTTAGATCACAAACACATAGGATATCTTTGGATTATGATAATTTGTCCTCCCCCAGGCGGCAGAATCACATTCCTGCTAGTGCCATAGTATCATAGTAATGTATGTATATGTATAAGACCTGAGGAATTTAACATTTGTGAGAGTATCCAATGGTCTTTGAATAAATATCCTGTGTTTTTGAAACTGTTATGAGTTGCAGTGCAAGTTTGCTTTTTTCCAGGTTAGATGAGGAGATTATGGAGTTGTCCAGCGTGCAGCAGTCATCCGTCGTGCTGCTGCTCTCTCTGATTGAGCAGACGGCATATGATCTGCCACTGTGCCACAACACTCTAAGTCTTCTTGAAGTGGTCAGTATATAGAATCAGGATTTGACCTTGACCTACAACACTAGGAGTCCAGAGGACCCCCATTTACTAATTTCATGGGTCCTCACAGGAAATATGAGGGTCCTGTAATATAATGACATGGTACAGTGCATCGTACTGTAAGATTTATAAGTTACTTCAATGACAGGAACTTCTTCTTTTTCAAGAATTAGGTACAATGAACATGATAGTTCATGCCTCAGGTCGCAATATAAAGTTTTCCTACGTCCATTTTATATATTTGTGCGTACTGGAAGCACATTTCTGAGTCGGGTAAAAACCTGTAGATTCCCAGTGTTCATACATTCCTGATCTCCACACTCAGCCACTCCTTCACTTTCCTTCCGACTGTTTTGTAAGTCATTAGTTCATTCAGTTCCCATTCATTTGGTGCTTTACCTTTCAGTTACATTGCACCATAATTATACCCCCGACAAAATGTAAGGGGTATGTAGTTATACCAAGGTTCTGTCCGTCCATCCATCCGTCGTTCCGTCCGTCCATCAGTCTGTCCATCTGTCCGTCCGTCCGAAAACTTTGACCGCACGATTTCTCTTAAACTATTCAGGGGATTCATCTCAAACTTACTACATATAATCTGTGTCATATGGAGGGGTGCAGTCAAAAGAAAAAAAAATTTATTATTAATTTTCGATTTTTTTATGAATTTTTCAAACCCTAATGTCCGTCCGAAAACTTTGTCCGCACGATTCCCTTAAACTATTCAGGGGATTCATCTCAAACTTTATACATATAATCTGTGTCATATGGAGGGGTGCAGTCAAAAGAAAAAATTGTTTTTATTAATTTTCCATTTTTTTATGTATTTTTCAAACCCTAACCCTATCCTAGCTATTTAATTTGTAACTACTGACACACTAGGCGGGTCGAGGGTATTAGTGAGCCACTCTCACTTTTTCACTTGTTGTATTCTAAATACAGCACACAGTTGACATCTCCAGTTGATATTTGTCCTCTCTGTATCCCCGCTCTTCATAGCAACCCATGCTGGTTGTGTGAGGCGACTTAATGGTTCTAGTTGTCTTGGTTAGATGAGTTCCACAAATCATGCAGAGTAATGTAGAGTCCATTATCAACGCCTTAGGCACAAGCTCTACTTGTATGAGTGATCTTGCAAGATAACATTAAGCTTATAGATTAAGTGGTAAGATAAACCAAAATTGTGGCTTCGAAAACTGGTAAAAAAAATTCTTTGTTGACCCAAGCTCTGAGGGAAGGGAAGTGCCTTGCCCTTGTGCAGTAGATCAGTTTTGATACTTCTTTCCGTGCAACTGCTCATTAGATAACTGACCATGCTGACTGAAAAGAGAATGTCTGTTGAAAATGTTTTAAAGTTTTTTAAAGAATGAGAACAACATAAACAGAAATAATGGCTACGATTTAATAGAGGTAGTGTTCTTAGAATTATACCCATTGATAACTATTGTTGGATATTTATCATCCCAGAATGATTTCCACAGGAGATATCATTAGTGTATCCCCATGAAATTGAATCACAATGCTCAGCAGACCATTGTGACTTCATCCGTTACCATGACATCACAATGAAATGACATCACTAATGCCACTGAAGCTGGTTACACTCAAGACATTTGTACTGTTTACACACTAAAAAAGTTGGAACAGTGATTTTGTAAGATAAATTGAATTTCACCCTACTGTCTTTTGACATCAAATATATGGACACGTGTATATGAAAGATTACAATTTGTTTGCCTTGTGTTGATGTATTGATATTAAAAGGCACGGGTGAGATTCTGTGTGTGTCCACCCTGGTGTTTCGTGTTTGTACCCTCTGCCTTGTTCTGCAGCTCCTGGTCCAGTGCCCCATGCTGTCCACCATCCTCCTGGAGCAGGGCTTGATGGAGGTGCTCACCAACCTCATCACCATCATCAACAGACAGAATAGCAAGTACGTTCACTGCCGCTGTCATCATCCCATGTGATAGAATGCACCCTTGCTTTGAGCTGTGGATGACTGTGTGCGATCTGGCTGTGTCACAACTCACAAGAAACTTCCCTTTAAAAAATAATGTCACCAGACATATCATGTCATCATGTTGCGAGTGCATACTCGAATCTCCAGAAAAGAGATCATGATAGAAGAATGTTTTCTTATGAAATATACCACACTTTGTTCTTCATTGATCTTGGCAATTTATCGCGTAGCTATCTTATATATGTATTTAAAGAACAAATCCCAAGATTGTGGTTGAAAATGTAAAACCGCAAGCAGGGGAAAAGCCAGAGGGCCAATGGTATGGATACTGGCTTGGACACAAGCAACTGAGTTTGTGGGATTTCCACTATTTGAAAAAACCTTTGGAGCAGTAGGATGACGTCACTATAGGTTGGTATTTGTCAGTACCCAATTCTTCTTTTGACAGGCCGACAGATGTAGTTGAGGCAGAGAACAACCTGTTGCTGTTGGACGTACGGAGAGTTTTGTGTAGCCTGGCTGTCAGGGAGTTCAGGTAGGGAGACATGGGTCACAGATTTTTGCATCTATCAGTCTTACGTACAGGACTGCCTCCCTGGTCGAGGGGATAAAAGTTCTGCTCAGAGAGAAGAAGAGTGGTACTCAGAATTACGGATTATGTGTCCCTTGTGAATGAATGCTGAAAGTCCCTCGCCAAGTCTCAGGATTAACGCCCTTTACTCAGGACAGATAATCCCATATGTGTAGGTTATTCTGTATACTTCTCAGACATTTTAAGAGCGAAAAAGTGAAGAAAAAACGTAAAATCCGAATTTCCAGTAGCTCGCTGTTTACTCTCCAATTACAAACCTTGTCCTTGAGACAGGAATGTTTCAATCTGTGGACTGTCTGCATCACATCTGTCTCAAGTACAAGTACGTTTTGCTTATGGAGATGAAGTTTGTGTTTTGAGTTCTTGATTCACTGGTACTTGTTTTAGATTGTATATGCAATACATGCATAAGAGCTCTGTGAAATGAGATGTTTAGGTGATATATCTGATAAAGTATTTATTTCCCTGCTGACTGATGTTTCTGTGGTAGTCTCTGCTGAATGTTACATTGAGTCTTGTTCCTGGCAGCTGGAGTGGCATGACACACTACCAACAGGTGGAGGACATGTTCAACCTCCTCAAGGCCTTGGAGGACAAGGAGCAGGCATCAGGTAGGGAGGGAAACAGTGTTAGATGTTGAGAGTCAGGTTGCCAACCCCCTTGTGATATGTAGATTCTGTTTAGAGGGTATTTAGGACTGTGTTCATGGGACGCAGGTTAGCTTCTAGGGGATTGGTGTTCACTCACAATCCAAGTGTCAAATACTAACTTCAGCTTCTAAGCTAACTAGCGTTCCCCTGTCGGGAACAGACTATAATCCCCACCCCTAATCCCCTTTATACTACTGAATTTTAATTTTGACCTGTCTGGGAAGATGCCGGGATGCAAATGAAATCGTATTTGGTACACAGACTCAACATTTTTTTAAATAATAATGTACCTAAAAAATTCCATTATATGTTCTATTTTTTCAATATTTGTCAGTAATTTAACTTCAAATTGCACCCTTTTATGACCTTGGAACGTGTTCTATAGGTTTTCGTCTGTGATCAAATTCCGCTTTGCAAAGTGATTTCTGACATGTGCTTTTGAGGTTTGTGTAAGTAGTATTTGGGATTCAGGGGAGGGGTGTTGTCACCCTCATGAGTGTTTGAGACAGAGTGTCATCGTGAGAGAGTGGTTAGGAGAAGTATGTGGGAAAGAGAGTGTTGAGTCAGGGGCTGAATGACTAATGCCCCATCACCATATCATGGCCTTTGTTGCCAAATATAGGGCACTCAATAGGGCTGGTAAGGGTAACTCGGGTACCCTTGGTTAGTCACCTGACATATTGTTTAATGACAACAACATTAAAACTCCATGGTTACACTACAAGTCGCTAATGTTCATTTCTTTCTGACTATGCAGTTAGGTCTGGGACGAGTCCAAATATACTACCCAGGTACCTGACCCTCTATTGCCCGATCCTACCCGGATACCCACTGTTGGTCTCAAGAGTTGGGTGCAAAATGAAAATGTCCGACTGGGAATTGTTTTACCGGACCCCTGGCAAAAAGTATTTAGATACATGTATATGATCCAGTCACAAACACTGAAGTTGACTGAAGCTTTATATTTACTCAAACATATAAAAGTCGGAAGGAATGAGTTCATAGTCAGGAAGAAATGTGAACATAAGTGACTTGCAGTGTAACCATGGAGTTATAGTAGTGAATTTTGTTATTGAATAATATATCATGTGACTAACCATGGTCCCGGGTAGTCCTGTGGGTACCCGGGTCCTACTCCGTACCCACCCAACCCAAGTACCCATGTTTCCCTACACAGCCCTAAAGCATGCATTCCTTCTGACTTTTACATGTTTGAGTAAAGATAAAGAATACTTCAGTCAACTTCAGTGTACGCATGATCAGATCATTTTATATGTGTATCTAAATAGATTTGGCCTGGGTAAAAAATTTACAGTTGGACATTTTGTACCCAAATACTGAGACATACAGTGGGTACCAGGGCAGTGTCAGGTAATAGGGGCTTGAATACCCGGGTAGTAAATTTGGACTTGTCCCAGCCCTAGTACCTGACACAAAATTATTATTGTTTTTGTATTCTCATTCACAAATTCATGTGGCCATACCAGATAATGTTTGTGTCATTAGTTCTGCTTGTTTTGTGAGATGTTCATATTGACTTATCCTACTGACTGATGGTTGCCCACAGAAGACAGTAAGCGACGTTGTCAGAACCTGCGGGACCTGCAGTATGTCATGGTGATCCTCATCATCGAGTATGTGGAGAGACGCAGCGAGGACATCAGCCAGCAGCCTCACAACTGGTTCACCATGTCCGGGGGCAGCACCTCCAGCGCTGGCAGCTATGGTAGGGTGGGGCACATCCCTCATATTGTAGGGTGGGGCACACCCCTCAAACTGTAGGGTGGGGCACATCCCTCAAACTGTAGGGTGGGGCACATCCCTCATACTGTAGAGTGGGGCACATCCCTCATACTGTAGAGTGGGGCACACCCCTCATACTGTAGGGTGGGGCACATCCCTCATATTGTAGGGTGGGGCACATCCCTCATACTGTAGAGTGGGGCACATCCCTCATACTGTAGGGTGGGGCACATCCCTCATACTGTAGGGTGGGGCACATCCCTCATATTGTAGGGTGGGGCACATCCCTCAAACTGTAGGGTGGGGCACATCCCTCATATTGTAGGGTGGGGCACATCCCTCATACTGTAGGGTGGGGCACACCCCTCATACTGTAGGGTGGGGCACATCCCTCATTCTGTAGGGTGGGGCACATTCCTCAAACTGTAGGGTGGGGCACATCCCTCATACTGTAGGGTGGGGCACATCCCTCAAACTGTAGGGTGGGGCACATCCCTCATACTGTAGAGTGGGGCACATCCCTCATACTGTAGGGTGGGGCACATCCCTCATACTGTAGGGTGGGGCACATCCCTCATACTGTAGGGTGGGGCACATCCCTCATTCTGTAGGGTGGGGCACATCCCTCATACTGTAGAGTGGGGCACATCCCTCATACTGTAGAGTGGGGCACATCCCTCATACTGTAGAGTGGGGCACATCCCTCATACTGTAGAGTGGGGCACACCCCTCATACTGTAGAGTGGGGCACATCCCTCATATTGTAGGGTGGGGCACACCCCTCATACTGTAGGGTAGGGCACATCCCTCATACTGTAGAGTGGGGCACATCCCTCATACTGTAGGGTGGGGCACATCCCTCAAACTGTAGAGTGGGGCACATCCCTCAAACTGTAGAGTGGGGCACATCCCTCATACTGTAGGGTGGGGCACATCCCTCATTCTGTAGGGTGGGGCACATCCCTCATACTGTAGAGTGGGGCACACCCCTCATACTGTAGAGTGGGGCACATCCCTCATACTGTAGAGTGGGGCACACCCCTCATACTGTAGAGTGGGGCACACCCCTCATACTGTAGAGTGGGGCACATCCCTCATACTGTAGGGTGGGGCACATCCCTCATACTGTAGAGTGGGGCCGTCCCTCATACTGTAGAGTGGGGCACATCCCTCATACTGTAGAGTGGGGCACACCCCTCATACTGTAGAGTGGGGCACATCCCTCATACTGTAGGGTGGGGCACATCCCTCATACTGTAGGGTGGGGCACACCCCTCATACTGTAGAGTGGGGCACACCCCTCATACTGTAGGGTGGGGCACATCCCTCATACTGTAGGGTGGGGCACATCCCTCATACTGTAGGGTGGGGCACATCCCTCATACTGTAGGGTGGGGCACATCCCTCATACTGTAGAGTGGGGCACAGCCCTCATACTGTAGGATGGGGCACATCCCTCATACTGTAGGGTGGGGCACATCCCTCATACTGTAGGGTGGGGCACATCCCTCATACTGTTGGGTGGGGCACACCCCTCATACTGTAGAGTGGGGCACATCCCTCATACTGTAGGGTGGGGCACATCCCTCATACTGTAGAGTGGGGCACACCCCTCATACTGTAGAGTGGGGCACATCCCTCATACTGTAGGGTGGGGCACATCCCTCAAACAGTAGGGTGGGGCACACCCCTCAATCTGTAGGGTGGGGCACATCCCTCATACTGTAGGGTGGCGCACATCCCTCATACTGTAGGTTGGGGCACACCCCTCAAACTGTAGAGTGGGGCACACCCCTCAAACTGTAGAGTGGGGCACACCCCTCAAACTGTAGAGTGGGGCACACCCCTCAAACTGTAGGTGAGGCACATCCCTCAAACCGTAGGGTGGGGCACACCCCTCGAACAGTAGGGTGGGGCACACCCCTCGAACAGTAGGGTGGGGCACATCCTTCAAACTGTAGGGTGAGGCAAATTCTTCATACAGTAGGGTGGGGCACATCCCTCATACTTTAGGAAGGGGTACATTCCTCAAACTGTAGGGTCAGGGGCAAGGCCATGTTGTTCTGGGCTTCTGCTGAAAACAGGGAACAGTTGGCTGAATTAGCAAAAGTGTAAAGCTCAGTGAGAACTATTTTCCTTGATAATATATTCCCTATGTGTAGTATGGCACATGATGTATGGGATTTATTTAATGCAATTTTTGTCCATGTCAGAATCTTACTGGAAACTTTTTGTGCATGCATAATTTTATGGAGAATACTTTATTGCTTAAACCACACATATAAGCACCACATCATCAGCTTTGCTGATCATCAAATGTATGTCATACGCCTCATTCACAGCTTACAAATTAAGAATTTTTAACATATTTAAGTTGAGTTCAGTTCAGTTTAACACCGCTTTGCGCAGTACCGTATTCGACGTAATAAGCGCCCCGCTCTAATAAGCGCCCATGGCGATATTTGCTAATATATTGGCTAGTGAACAATCCCAATCAGCACCCCTTCCGATTGATCAATGTACGCAAGACTTATTTATTCGCGCATATTACGCACTCGTGTGTTATATCACCCTTAATTATGGGCAATTAAATTCTTGAAAAATATATCTGTCGTATGTAAACATTTCAGGATGTTTGCATAAACAACGAAATTTACGATCTTTCAACTCAAAATAATATTCTAATAAGCGCCCCCTATTTCTAATTTTGAGAGCGCCCTGGGCGCTTATTACGTCGAATACGGTATTCCAGTTACGTCACAGTGTGTCAGCATCATGCGGGAGGAAACCCTGAAGTGATGCAGGTCTCAGACTTTCACCACTTTGGTAAAGCCCTCAAACAGGGATATGGTGCTGACAAACCTTGAAACAAAATCATGATGAACAGGGATACAGACCCATGATCATAGGTTTCTGGTGTGCCCAAGGGACACAACTCTGCACAGCAACACACAAAGCTCAATTTGTCATGTCCCATGGCTCCTACCCACACCATCCACCTTAATGACATGTGACCTTGACCTTCCTCCTCCCTTGCAGGCAGCTACAGCGACCCCTCCAGTGCACACCTCTACTCCCTCCTCCCCGCCTCCGACTCCTCCTTCACCAGCAGCCTCCGCTCCCAGCTCCCCAGGGGGAGACAACCCACAAGGAAACAAACACCATCATCCAGGAGCTCTGATCAATTTGCAGATCAGCCATTTGATGAAAAGTCGCCTTCGACTAAAACAGGGCTGGCAGGCTCAACTGCTGGCGATTTTCTGGATTCCTACAAAGCGTCTCAGACCGGCAAGTCACGTGATATGCCACAAAGGAAGGCAGCCAATCAGTCGCGTATTGCACAGTTTTTTGGCAAGAGAAAGAAGCTGATGTTTGTTGCTGTGAATCAATCTGAACTGTTGGACCGGTTCAAGAAGTTTCTGGTGTTTGCTGTTGACCTCATTGTTCTCATAGGTGAGATCCACCTTTATTTATTGATGAATCACATTTGTCTCACAATTTGTATGTGTCTTATTTGTGTTGGTTTTTTGGAAGATCATGTGTGTTTTTTTTGGTGGGAAGGTTGCGTGTGTAATATTTTGTTGAAGATCGTGTGTTATGTGTCCTGAGACATAGTGTTGCTTACTGTAAATCTTGAAATTAACACGAGCATGAATTAAATGCGAAAAAAGTGAGTGGTCTTTGCTTGCATTAATTAACTTCGCATTTATTTCTCCAAAATGACTATCAACAATAAGACGGCCTCTATGCACACGTTGGATAGCGGAAATACCAACTTGAATATAAACACAAACATGGTTTATTTAGCAGCAGCTGTAACAAGTACATAACAGTGTTATTCAAAGAATAGGAATTACACAATGGGCATCCGGTAAGTTATAACTGCTTGGGTCAAGAGTTCTACCCACTTGTGTCAAGCTTGTTGACACCTCCGTATACCAATCAGTGAACTGTTGTTGTTTCAATTATTTTATTGACTTTGAACTTCCTTCATGTCAGTCAACAGAGTAAACATATAAACTGTTTGGTGTTTTGGGGAAAACACTGTTTATTGTTTTTACGGAAGTGCTCTACTCAGTGCTTATAAGCGATGATATTTGCTGTTAGATTGGTTTAAGGTTGGATTCAGGAGGGATGTATCATTCCACTGGGGATGGGGTGGGGGGAGTTGTATTGGTATTGAGTCACTTTTTGGCTAGAGGTCAGCAGTCGTATAAATTTTGAGATGCATTAATTTCCAGATTTACAGTATATCTTGTTGAAGGCTGTGTGTTATGTTTTGTGGAAGGTCGTGTGTGCAATATCTTGTGGAAGGGTGTGTGTTATGTTTTCTGAGAGGTGGTGTGTGTTATCTTTTGTGGAAGGTCATGTATCTTGTGAAAGGTCGTGTGTTAAGTTTTGTTGATGGCTGTGTGTTATATCTTGTGGAAGGTCGTGTGTTAAGTTTTGTTGAAGGCTGTGTGTTTTATCTTGTGGGAGGCTGTGTGTTACGTTTCCTGAGAGGTGGTGTGTGTTATCTTTTGTGGAAGGTCATGTATCTTGTGAAAGGTTGTGTGTTAAGTTTTGTTGACGGCTGTTTGTTATATCTTGTGGAAGGTCGTGTGTTAAGTTTTGTTGAAGGCTGTGTGTTATATCTTGTGGAAGGCCATATGTTGAAGGCTGTGGGTTTTATCTTGTGGGAGGCTGTGTGTTATGTTTTTTGAGAGGTTTTGTGTTTTTTCATCCAGAGCGAGAGGAGATGGTGAAGACATCGGGGGAAAGAATAGAGATGTTCTTCACCAAGACCACCAGTCTGGAGGACAACTTCCTCACCAAACTCTTCAACATCACCTACCGCGGCCTGGAGTTTACCCTGGTAAGTCATGCATTCAAGGTGTCGTCCAAAACCACACTGACTCATGTAGACGTTCAGTATAAATGTCATGGCTGCATATACTGAGATATCACTATCTTATTCTTTGTACAAACATATGTACAAACAAGAGTATTTCATTTAGTTATGACTTTCAGTGCTGCTGACTGGTGGATGAAGCTCTCTCTGACCAGGTTTTTCTTTATCACAGGACAAAGGTGGGACCAGCCGTAAGTCTCGCAATGTCATCATGTGGGGAGCTAAAGACGTCATCAGACAACAGGTATGATACATCTTCTGGCAGATCTCCTGTATTCCTCCTGCAGAGTAATGTTGTGTTGTAGTCTTTGGGAGGGATTCTGTATACATGGCCTATGATCTAGGGGAGGGATTCTGTATACATGGCCTATGGTCTCGGGGAGGGATTCTGTATAAAGGCCTATGATCTAGGGGAGGGATTCTGTATACATGGCCTATGGTCTCGGGGAGGGATTCTATATACATGGACCATGGTCTCGGGGAGGGATTCTGTATACATAGCCTATGATCTCAGGGAGGGATTATGTATACATGGACTATGGTCTAGGGGAGGGATTCTGTATACATAGCCTATGATCTCAGGGAGGGATTCTGTATACATGGACCATGGTCTCGGGGAGGGATTCTGTATACATGGACCATGGTCTGGGGAGGAGGGATTCTGTATACATGGCCTATGGTCTCGGGGAGGGATTCTGTATACATGGACTATGGTCTCGAGGGGGAGGGATTCTGTATACATGGACTATGGTCTGGGGGAGGGATTCTGTATACATGGACTATGGTCTCGGGGGGGGAGGGATTCTGTATACATGGACTATGGTCTCGGGGGGGGGGAGGGATTCTGTATACATGGACTATGGTCTCGGGGAGGGATTCTGTATACATGGACCATAATCTGGGGGAGGGATTCTGTATACATGGACCATGGTCTGGGGGAGGGATTCTGTATACATGGACTATGGTCTCAGGGAGGGATTCTGTATACATGGCCTATGCTCTCGGGGAGGGATTCTGTATACATGGACTATGGTCTGGGGGAGGGATTCTGTATACAGTCAAGCCCCGCTTATACGGACTTCAGATATCCGGCCTGTCAACCAGCGAAATGTAAGCGACACGCAGTTACAGCACGCGAAAAAAGGGAAATTTGTCTGTCTAAAGAAAAACACCCGTCAGCAAGTTTAGAAACCTTCAGTAAGCATTATGGCACTGAATTTGGACATACCATAGGAAAATCGACAATTGGTGACAGTTCAAACTTTCATGACAGACTTTTTGAAACGTGTATGAATAAAGATTGAGTGGATGTATCTGTTTGCACTGTCATCTGTCATGAGTTGCATAATTAAAGGGAAGTAACTCTTCCAGTAAGAAGCTGGTTTCAGTTATACAGAAATTTGTTTATACGGACGAATTGTGAAATGACGCAAGTGTCCGTATGAACGAGGCACGACTGTACATGGACTATGGTCTGGGGGAGGGATTCTGTATACATGGCCTATGAACTCGGGGAGGGATTTTGTATACATGGCCTATGATCTAGGGGAGGGATTCTGTATACATGGCCTATGGTCTCGGGGAGGGATTCTGTATAAATGGACCATGGTCTAGGGGAGGGATTCTGTATACATGGCCTATGGTCTAGGGCAGGGAATCAGACTATGGTCCTGTCCCCCTCCTACAGAGTAGTGCTGTGTTGTAGTTTGGCCGTCTGCTCCTGTGCATGCTGTCATCCAAGATGGACTTCAACATGAGGCTGTATGGTCTGTCCTTCATCATGGGCGAGACAAAGGGCCGGGACGTCATCAAGATGCTCATCTCCACACAGCAGCTGGTGGGTCACACATGCACTGTAGATGCTCTCATTCTCACTTTCTCACAATTTCAAAGATGCAATCGACACTTGCCAAATTTTCTGTATTAAACACCCTGCTCCAATAAGAACCCACTCACCCTTCTAAGACCGAACATTAATACGACAGTCTGGATTTTCTTGTGTATATGGGGCGGTCGAGTAGCCTAGTGGTTAAAACGTTCGCTCGTCACGCCGAAGACCCGGGTTTCGATTCCCGACATGGGTACAATGTGTGAAGCCCATTTCTGGTGACCCCCGCTGTGATATTGCTGGAATATTGCTAAAAGCTGCGTAAAACCATACTCACTCACTCACTCACTCTTGTGTATATGACGGAATTGTTTAAGAAGCAGCAGTGTAGAAGAACAGTATAATTGCCTTGTGACTAATATCAAAACATTTTTAGCTTAATCAATGTTTGAACTAATTTTGTTCAGTACCTTTGACAACAAATTTAACTTGCTGTTATTCAACACATATACAGTGAAGACTTTAGAGGAGAAATTGTTGATTCATGTTGATCTGATCTGTGATATATAATAGCTCTGACACCATATCAAAGACTTTTGCCTGGCTGGTAGGATTTCAATTATTCCTTCCAAAGTCAGATCTTTTCTGTGTATCATGTTATTGTCATTGATATAAGTGTCATGGATTAAGCCTGTTGATGTAATGATCAGAACGCATGAGTTAACAGCATCAGTAAGGTCTCTGTGTGTAGCCTGTGTCTGCACATTGATGCTATGTAGATCCTGCTGATCTGAGTGGGTGGTGAAGGTGTGGGCCACTAGTACTGCCTTGACTTATGTTACATAGATTAGGTACTAAACGTCTATAATACCTTCAGCTACCCATAAGCTTCACAGACTTTAAGGACTTTGCAAGATCCTGGCTTATGACCAGTGAGATAGAGTTGAGACTTCTATAGGACAAATGATACTGTGGCATTTAGACTTCTAATGGACTGAGTGGTGATGGGGCTGAGTGGCACTGTATGATTGGGACTTAATGGATCAAGTGGGACTGTGATGGGACGAGTGGGACTGTGACATTGAGACTTCTAATGGACCTAATGATACTGTGACAATACTAAGAGCTACTGTGACGGTACTGAGAGCTACTGTGATGGTGAGACTTCTAATGGACCGAATGATACTGTGACGGTACTAAGAGCTACTGTGACGGTACTTGGAGCTACTGTGATGGTGAGATGTCTAATGGACCTAATGATACTGTGAAGGTACTGAGAGCTACTGTGATGGTGAGACTTCTAATGGACCAAATGATACTGTGACAGTACTGAGAGCTACTGTGATGGTGAGATTTCTAATGGACCGAATGATACTGTGACGGTACTGAGAGCTACTGTGATGGTGAGACTTCAAATGGACCGAATGATACTGTGACGGCACTGAGAGCTACTGTGACAGTGAGATGGCTAATGGACCGAATGATACTGTGACAGTACTGAGAGCTACTGTGATGGTGAGACTTCTAATGGACCGAATGATACTGTGACGGTACTGAGAGCTACTGTGGCATTTAGACTTCTAATGGACTGAGTGGTGATGGGGCTGAGTGGCACTGTATGATTGGGACTTAATGGATCAAGTGGGACTATGATGGGACGAGTGGGACTGTGACATTGAGACTTCTAATGGACCTAATGATACTGTGACAATACTAAGAGCTACTGTGACGGTACTGAGAGCTACTGTGATGGTGAGATGTCTAATGGACCGAATGATACTGTGACGGTACTGAGAGCTACTGTGACGGTACTGAGAGCTACTGTGATGATGAGACTTCAAATGGACCGAATGATACTGTGACAGTACTGAGAGCTACTGTGATGGTGAGACTTCTAATGGACCGAATGATACTGTGAAGGTACTGAGAGCTACTGTGATGGTGAGACTTCTAATGGACCAAATGATACTGTGACGGTACTAAGAGCTACTGTGACGGTACTTGGAGCTACTGTGATGGTGAGACTTCTAATGGACCTAATGATACTGTGAAGGTTCTGAGAGCTACTGTGATGGTGAGACTTCTAATGGACCAAATGATACTGTGACGGTACTAAGAGCTACTGTGACGGTACTTGGAGCTACTGTGATGGTGAGACTTCTAATGGACCTAATGATACTGTGACGGCACTGAGAGCTACTGTGACAGTGAGATGGCTAATGGACCGAATGATACTGTGACAGTACTGAGAGCTACTGTGATGGTGAGACTTCTAATGGACCGAATGATACTGTGAAGGTACTGAGAGCTACTGTGATGGTGAGACTTCTAATGGACCGAATGATACTGTGAAGGTACTGAGAGCTACTGTGATGGTGAGACTTCTAATGGACCAAATGATACTGTGACGGTACTAAGAGCTACTGTGACGGTACTTGGAGCTACTGTGATGGTGAGACTTCTAATGGACCTAATGATACTGTGACGGCACTGAGAGCTACTGTGACAGTGAGATGGCTAATGGACCGAATGATACTGTGACAGTACTGAGAGCTACTGTGATGGTGAGACTTCTAATGGACCGAATGATACTGTGACGGTACTGAGAGCTACTGTGGCATTTAGACTTCTAATGGACTGAGTGGTGATGGGGCTGAGTGGCACTGTATGATTGGGACTTAATGGATCAAGTGGGACTATGATGGGACGAGTGGGACTGTGACATTGAGACTTCTAATGGACCTAATGATACTGTGACAATACTAAGAGCTACTGTGACGGTACTGAGAGCTACTGTGATGGTGAGATGTCTAATGGACCGAATGATACTGTGACGGTACTGAGAGCTACTGTGACGGTACTGAGAGCTACTGTGATGGTGAGACTTCTAATGGACCTAATGATACTGTGACGGTACTGAGAGCTACTGTGATGGTGAGACTTCTAATGGACCGAATGATACTGTGACGGTACTAATAGCTACTGTGACGGTACTTGGAGCTACTGTGATGGTGAGACTTCTAATGGACCTAATGATACTGTCAAGGTACTGAGAGCTACTGTGATGGTGAGACTTCTAATGGACCAAATGATACTGTGACGGTACTAAGAGCTACTGTGACGGTACTTGGAGCTACTGTGATGGTGAGACTTCTAATGGACCTAATGATACTGTAAAGGTACTGAGAGCTACTGTGATGGTGAGACTTCTAATGGACCAAATGATGCTGTGACGGTACTAAGAGCTACTGTGACGGTACTTGGAGCTACTGTGATGGTGAGACTTCTAATGGACCAAATGATACTGTGACGGCACTGAGAGCTACTGTGACAGTGAGATGGCTAATGGACCGAATGATACTGTAAAGGTACTGAGAGCTACTCTGATGATGAGACTTCAAATGGACCGAATGATACTGTGACAGTACTGAGAGCTACTGTGATGGTGAGACTTCTAATGGACCGAATGATACTGTAAAGGTACTGAGAGCTACTGTGATGGTGAGACTTCTAATGGACCGAATGATACTGTGACGGCACTGAGAGCTACTGTGACAGTGAGATGTCTAATGGACCGAATGATACTGTGACGGTACTGAGAGCTACTGTGATGATGAGACTTCAAATGGACCGAATGATACTGTGACAGTACTGAGAGCTACTGTGATGGTGAGACTTCTAATGGACCGAATGATACTGTGACAGTACTGAGAGCTACTGTGATGGTGAGACTTCTAATGGACCGAATGATACTGTGAAGGTACTGAGAGCTACTGTGATGGTGAGACTTCTAATGGACCAAATGATACTGTGACGGTACTGAGAGCTACTGTGACGGTACTTGGAGCTACTGTGACGGTACTTGGAGCTACTGTGATGGTGAGACTTCTAATGGACCGAATGATACTGTGACGGTACTGAGAGCTACTGTGACATTGAGACGTCTAATGGACTGAATGATACTGTGAAGGTACTGAGAGCTACTGTGACATTGAGACGTCTAATGGACTGAGTGGTGATGGGACCGAGTGGCACTGTCAGGTTGTGACTTTGTACTGAACGTGACATTGTGTAAGCTAGGGTGTCGTCCTTGTAGGGCCAGGAGCTGAGCTGCTACCTGTACAACCTGCTGACAACGTGGAGAGACTGGCTGGTCGGAACCCAGCGGGAGCAGGGCTGCATTCTCCTCAACCTCCTGCGACAGAGTGGCTTCGTCGTCTACATGACAGACAGGAAGCTCACACCCCAACAACAGGACGTGCTAGACGAGGTTGGTTGTACTTATTGACCTTTCAAGTTGTTCGTCCTGGTACAGTGTCCTCTATTCATTCTGTGATAGATGTGCACATAGTTTGGTTTGACTTGCTATGTTTCTGTGTCTCCAGGAGAAAAGGTCTATTGACCTACGGCTCGCCAATGCACAACAGTTGTGGTCCCAAAAGAAGCAGACAGCAGCCGACAGGTGAGAGGTCTAAATGTAGAAATGTTTGTTGAAATGTTCTTGAAATGATTCAAAATTTAACCTCCGAAGGAACTGCAGAAGAATTTGAGATCAGATAGTCAAAATGTATTACCTATCTGTATGCCGTTTTATCCATATTGTTGTTGGGGCGGTCGGGTAGCCTAGTGGTTAAAGTGTTCGCTTGTCACGCAGAAGACCCAGGTTTGATTCCTGACATGGGTACAATATGTTGAGCCCATTTCTGTTGTCCCCCGCCATGATATTGCTTGAATATTGCTAAAAGCGGCATAAAACCATACTCACTCACTCACTCACTCACTCCATATTGTTGTTGATACAATCAACCTGCTGGTTTGGCTTGTCCCAATTTGATTTCCTGCAGCCAGATGCAATTTTGCTCTTATGTTGTTGGTTGTTGTTTAAGATAACACTCCCTCCCTTCTAATGGTTTTATGTTGCCTGAAAGTTTTGCCTGACTGGCAGGTTGTAAAGCTGGCACTATGTCCTGTGTTGTAGAGTCCTGCAGCGCTATGAGAAGCACATGAAGCTGGTGTCCGACCAGGCCATGACAGTCACCCAGACAGTCACTCAGCTGCAGAACAACCAGAGGAAGGTCCTGGTGGACCACATCAAGAAGTCCATGACGGAACAGATCCAACTGAAGAAAGCTTGGCAGGAGCTAGTCCAGATACTCACACATGAAAGGTAGGCACTGTTTGGGAGGAGTTGTCTTCCCTTGTTTATCTGTACAAGAGTTAGGCACTGTTGGGAGGAGTTGTCTTCCCTTGTTTATCTGTACACAAGTTAGGCACTGTTGGGAGGAGTTGTCTTTCCTGGTTTATCTGTACAAGAGATAAGCACTGTTTTGGAGGAGTTGTCTTCCCTTGTTTATCTGTACAAGAGTTAGGCACTGTTGGGAGGAGTTGTCTTCCCTTGTTTATCTGTACAAGAGTTGGCCACTGTTTTGAGGAGTTGTCTTCCCTTGTTTATCTGTACACAAGTTAGGCACTGTTGGGAGGAGTTGTCTTCCCTTGTTTATCTGTACAAGAGTTAGGCACTGTTGGGAGGAGTTGTCTTCCCTTGTTTATCTGTACAAGAGTTAGCCACTGTTTGGAGGAGTTGTCTTTCCTGGTTTATCTGTACAAGAGTAAGGTACTGTTGGGAGGAGTTGTCTTCCTTTCCATGTTTATCTGTACAAGAGTAAGGCAGGGAGGAGTTGTCTCCCCTTCCATGTTTATCTGTACAAGATACTTTGCATTGTGGCATGATCTCTTCTTGATCAACATATGAGTTTGGTTAGGTCTTTTAAGAAAACACAAAGTTCACCCACCTTCGTATTATGATTTATATTTCGATCTAGCAAAACCTGTACATCCCAGTTGTAAAGACACAGTGCTTCAGTTTCTCACACCATACTGTAGGAGGTACTAGGAAATGTAGAGCTGGAAATTTAAATGGAATGAGCATGCACATTGTTATTGCGCTTCCCTTGTCCCCCAGAGCCGTTTGGTACCACCCGGCCTCCTACCCCCAGTCATGGCAGCTCGACCCCACGGAGGGACCAGGCAGAATGAGAAAAAGGTTCCAGCGATGTCATCTCGCCATTGACAAGAAGTATCTGGCAGAAGGCTACAAGCAGAAGCTTGGTGAGAAGGGAGATTGTTATTAATGTTACCTGGCAACCACATTCTCAGATTGTTACGTTGTGTAAAAAGATCCGTTATTTCCAGGGATATGTTAATATGATGGTAGGTCCACAGCATTAGAAACATTTAGAAACTACCCATCTTTACGATGATGTAAAACATTCAAATATAAATATTTCATTTCTTCTAGTTCTTTGATATGTCAACTATTGAGCATTTTGGCCAGCTTGATATACTACTCCAAAGAAGTTAGGGACCACCCAAATCTTTCATATTACTATAGGTAATCTGTCAAGGCAATTCTTTCATATTACTATAGTTAATCTGTCATGGCATTTCTTTCATATTACTATAGGTAATCTATCAAGCCAATTCTTTCATTTTACTATAGGTAATCTGTCAAGGCAATTCTTTCATTTTACTATAGGTAATCTGTCAAGGCAATTCTTTCATTTTACTATAGGTAATCTGTCAAGGCAATTCTTTCATTTTACTAAAGGTAATCTGTCAAGGCAATTCTTTCATATTACTATAGGTAATATGTCAAGGCAATTCTTTCCTATTACTATAGTTAATCTCTCATGGCATTTCTTTCATATTACATCTTTCATTGCGAATCTTTCATATTAGTATGGTAATCTGTCTTGGCGATTCCTTCATATTACTATAGTTAATTGGTCAAGGCAATTTTGTTCATATTACTATAGTTAATTTGTAATGGCAATTTTTTCAACATATTACTACAGTTAATCTCTTATGGCAATTCTTTCATATTACTACAGTTATAAGGCTTGGAGTAGTGTGAAATACATTGGAAATATTGCATCACATCACTCACAAAATACTGTAACTCTCATAGAAGACGCAAAAATTGTGATTAGAGAGTAACACAACGAACCAAGTTGTCGTACAGTGAGTAAATGTTGCATCCTCTGTACCAGCAGTACTGCAGCTACTGTTAAAGGGGTCCAGTCACACTGATAGTAAGAGGTAAACCGTAAGGGTAAAGAAGGAGACTATAGCCTGGCTCTGGTTACAGATGTGGAGAATGTTGACCCGCCTCTCATCTACCTGTTTGAGGACGATGACAAGATGTCCGATTCCGCCGCACTGCTGTATCGACTGCACACCAACGAGAAGATACAGTCAGTTTTTCTTTGTATCATTACCTCAGAGTAACATAAAGTTAAAATATTCCTGTGTTATGGGTTTTCGGATGCTTAAGAAACTTTCATAGGTTTCCCGCTAATCACAAGAATAATTGTAAAACATCTCATTCACTTATAAAAAACAACTTTATCTCAAAATAAAGCCATCATCTGGGTATTTACAATGTCACACCTCTTGTAATAGCATGAATAATTGCGATAAACATCTCTGTCCGAAAATGTATGATGTCCGAAAACCTATGATCCGAAGATATGTGTTGGTTAAGTGCATTAATGTCTTGATTTTACTTTTACGTTTTCATAAATGTATTTTGACGTGATAATTTCTACTTTGTGAAGTCCTTAAAGGCGACTATGCTTGTCGTAAAAGGCAACAAACGGGATCGGGTGGTCAGGCTTACTGACTTGGTTGATGCATGTCATTGATCCCAATTGCGTGGATCGATGCTCATGATATCAATCACTGGATTGTCTGGTCCAGACTCGATTATTTACAGACCGCCGTCATATAGCTGGAATATTGCTGAGTGCGGCGTTAAACAACAAACCAACCAACCAACTTTGTACAGTATTTATGAGTGGCTGTTTATTCCAGACACACCTGCCTCTGTACCGCCATATCTCCGGCCAGTGAGAACAAGGGAGAGCTGCTGGTTGGTGAGTATCAGGCAACATTGTACAACACCATGTGACACTTGTCACAGGGGTACACAAAGTACGTCACCTAGACTACCAGTTGTCAGGCATCCAGTTTGTGAAAGCCTCGGTGGCTGAGTGGGTTTGATCGCTGATTTTATGTGCTGAGAGTGTGGGTTCGAATCCCGAATGAGATTTCTCAAAAAGAAGTACTAGAATTTGTACTTTACTAACAAAGTGTAATCCCAAATGTAACATGTTACACCATATTGCTAATTGTCTATTCTGGAGCCTGTAGGTCCCATTGTTCGAGCTGTCCTAGGCAATTCATTGTGCAGAGTTGCTTCCCTTAGAAATGTATGCCAAAATCTTATTACCATAGGTACAGGTACTGTCCCTATGATTTGCAACATATATCACTTTAGGCTTTGGGGCAGTCGGGTAGCCTAGTGCTTAAAGCGTTTGCTCATCACGCTGAAGACCCGGGTTCGATTCCCGACATGGGTACAATGTGTGAAGCCCATTTCTGGTGTCCCCCGCTGTGATATTGCTGGAATATTGCTAAAAGCAGCGTAAAACCATACTCACACACACTTTAGGCTTTCCTCCCACATTATAGAACTGCAATACTTTTTAAAGTGGTGTTGAACCCGTTTAGCTCCCTCTGTTGGTTATCCCAACCTAGGATGTGTTGTACAATATCTATAAGGGGCATTGGCTGTAGTATCAACGAAGAGAGAGTTGACTTCTGGCCTATCATCAGCTTGATAATGGTACTAGCATCTGTACCTAAATGTCAGGAATATAGATGTTAAAAGACAAATCTGTCTTCATAAAGTGCAGGGGCCACAGGTGGCCCAGTTGTCTAAGTCGCCGTAATTTGCTTTGCAGAGTTGCGTCCCTTGGGCACGCCAGAAACCTATGATTGTGGGTTCGAATCCCGGTTCGCCCCGATTATGTTTCTAGGTTTGTCAGCACCATACCCGTGCTCGTGGGTTTCACCGAAGTGGTAAACGTATGAGACCTGCATCACTTCGGGCTTTCCTCCCACATTAAGCTGACACGCTGTGATATAACTGGAATACTGTTAAAAGCGGCGTTAAACCCAACTCACTCACTCACTTCATAAAGTGCCAGCTACATGCATCGCCCCCTCTAGTGTGCGTATAACTACATGTTGATGCAGTGTGTCCTTCCATTTGTAGGGGAGATGTCCATCTTCTTTGTAGCGGATGAGGCTATCACAGATGCCAACTACACACAGGTAGGCCAAGACTTGACTGATTCTAATGCTTGAAAATATGGAAATTTCTGAATGTTGAATAAGAATATTGATAACACTCCTTTCGACCTGCTCATGATCTACGAGAGCCTCCAGTTTTAACGATTACACATCATATGTCCTGATTCCTTCTAACATCAGTTGTCTGCCCACCAGGTGTTGCTAGGTAACCGAGAGCAGCTGTCCATGACGTGGCCTCACGCAGACATCAAGGAGCTACACAAGCGTTGGTTTCAGCTCAATGATGTGGGTCTTGAGATCTTCCTGACTAATGGCAGGACATTCCTGCTGGCATTCAAAACTACAAGGGTAGGTGCTTGAGACAGTCCTGCAATATCTGGAAACTGTGGTCAATATATGTGCCCCTTTTTCACCTTTCCTTGTAGCTTCATTGTGACATCTGAACATTATTAGTGGATGAAAACCATCCATGTGTACTCCCAAGTTGACCAGTGTACCCCTACGTTGATCAGTATACTCCCACGTTGATCAGTATACTTCCAAGTTGATCAGTGTACTCCCAAGTTGATCAGTGTACTCCCAAGTTGATCAGTGTACTCCCAAGTTGATCAGTGTACTCCCAAGTTGATCAGTGTACTCCCAAGTTGATCAGTGTACCCCTACGTTGATCAGTATACTCCCACGTTGATCAGTATACTTCAAAGTTGATCAGTGTACTCCCAAGTTGATCAGTGTACTCCCAAGTTGATCAGTGTACTCCCAAGTTGATCAGTGTACCCCTACGTTGATCAGTATACTCCCACGTTGATCAGTATACTTCAAAGTTGATCAGTATACTTCCAAGTTGATCAGTGTACTCCCAAGTTGATCAGTGTACTCCCAAGTAGATCAGTATACTCCCAAGTAGATCAGTATACTCCCAAGTTGATCAGTGTACTCCCAAGTTGATCAGTGTACTCCCAAGTAGATCAGTATACTCCCAAGTTGATCAGTGTACTCCCAAGTAGATCAGTATACTCCCAAGTAGATCAGTGTACCCCCAAGTAGATCAGTATACTCCCAAGTTGATAAGTATACTCCCAAGTAGATCAGTGTACTCCCAAGTTGATCAGTGTACTCCCAAGTAGATCAGTATACTCCCAAGTAGATCAGTATACCCCCAAGTTGATCAGTGTACTCCCAAGTTGATAAGTATACTCCCAAGTAGATCAGTGTACTCCCAAGTTGATCAGTGTACTCCCAAGTTGATCAGTGTACTCCCAAGTAGATCAGTGTACTCCCAAGTTGACCAGTATACTCCCAACTTGATCAGTATACTCCCAAGTTGACCTGTGTCTGTGTCTGCCGTCAGATTCGGGATGAGTTGTACCAGCACCTCCTGCAGGCAGTGGAGCTCCCCAATCTGCTGCCGCCCTCGGAGAACCTGGCCACAGTGCAGCGCCTGTGGCTGGACGGCGCCCTCACCAACTTCGACTACCTCACTTACCTCAACAAGATATCCGGCCGCTCCTTCAATGACCTCATGCAGTACCCAATCTTCCCCTTCATCCTCCGAGACTACGAGAGTGACGAGCTCAATCTGGACGATCCCACAGTCTACAGGTAACATCTGGCAGGGAATACGGCACAGATGCCTTCTGTTCCTACAGATAACTAAACACATTAAGAGACAAGTGAAGCTTTTCAAATTTTCTGTTTGCTTCATGCAAGTCTTGTCAATATTTCTGTTTTTTAAAGAACTTGAAAGAAAATGGATGTGTTTAAATATTAAAAAATGATTTTATGTCAAATCTGCAAACCAGTAGTGTATCCATTTCTTTAGTTGATTATATGTCTCTCACATGAACATGTGACCTGTGAAGATCCGGGGTTAGAATAGGTCTTCAGCAACCCATGCTAGCCGTGTGGATTGATGCTCATGATTGGATTGTCTGGTTCAGACATGATTATTTACGGACCACCATCATATAGTTGGAATATTGTTTCAGGGATCTGGCCAAACCCATCGCTGTGCAAGTCAAGGGAAGAGAAGCAAAATACAAAGAAAACTTTGAGGTGAGAATTTATAATCGGTCAATGAATTCCCTGGTTTGTTTGGATGAGATGATTGAGGGTGGTAAATAGAAACATAGTATTTATGTTGCCGCCTCTATCCCAATAAATACTTGCTTTATAAAATCTTCAATAATTTCTTGTGAAGTACAAAATGTGTCAACTTTTTTGTTTGTAGTTCCTGTGCCAGGAATATGAGAAGCCATCTAGCTTGAATGACTACATCCGCATCCGACCGTACCACTACGGCAGCCACTACTCCAACAGCGGCACTGTGCTTCACTACCTTGTCAGATTACCTCCCTTTACAAAGATGTTCCTCTCATATCAAGGTGAGCCTTGTTTGGGAAAATCTAGTGTTTGTATTCTCGGTACTTGGCTGTATATTTAATCAGTGATTATTTGTTTGTATGTTATTTTTATGATATGCATGTCTAGCATCATCTTACTAGGGGGTCTTTGTTATCTTTCCAGACAGGAATTTTGACATCCCGGATCGAACATTTCATAGTATTGCAACATCATGGCGGCTGTCTAGTTTCGAGTCAACATCTGATGTGAAGGAGCTGATCCCAGAGTTCTACTTCCTCCCAGAATTCCTCAAGAATGGAGAAGGTAGGATGCTGCATACTGTTCAGTGTTCTTTGTGATGGGGGCACGGGTGGCCCAGTTGTCTTGGGTGCTGCAGAGTTGCATTCCTTGGGCATGCCTGGGCCCCATTCCACAAAGTGATCTTAGCGCTACGATGATCGTAAGCCTATGTTAAAGTATGGGACTTATGATCACCTTGGTGCTAAGATCGCTTTGTGGAACGGGACCCAGGAACCTAGGATCATGGGTTCGAATCCCTGTTCAGCCCAATTATGTTTCTAAGTTTATCAAGACCCTACCCATGCTCTATGGTTTCACCAGAGTGGTAAATGTCTGAGACCTGCATCACCTCCTACATTAAGCTGAGATGCCATGATAAAACTGGAATACTGTTAAAAGTGGCGTTAAAACCAACTCACAGTCACTCTTTTGTGTTTGTCCGATCCTGTGGGGAAAACCCTGTCGACTTTTCCAGGCTATATGTTCAAGGCATGTAGTTTGCAGGTGAGGAAGTCACACAAAGGAGTTTATAGGTCACTGAACAGTAATGGGCGGAAGAGGTCCCTTTGAATTGCTGTAAGTTGTACGAGCCCATTCAAATGCTTGCTGTAAAAGGTGACTATGCTTGTCATAAGAGGTGACTAAAGGGATCAGGTGGTCAGACTCGCTGACTTGGTTGATGCATGTCATCGCATCCCAATTGCGTGGATGGATGCTCATGATATCAATCACTGGTTTAACTGGTCAAGACTTGATTATTTATAGCCGTCATATAGCTGGAATATTGCTGAGTGTGGCGTTTAAAAAACGAACAAACAACCTCGGGTTTGCCCATCCCAGGTGTCATTATTTGACCTTCACATGACCAAGGAGGTTAAACCCACTAGCTGACATGGTAAGGATGTCCTCTGTCAGATGACTCCACTCCACTCCGACTGTGGTGAGGGAATATATTTTTCACCGGCTCCACTGGATTCTGTACCAGACAGTGTTACTCTGTATTCACACTGTCACTGTGGTTTGTCTTCATCAATAGACATGATGGCCTCTGTGGTCTAGTGGGAGAGCGGAGGTCGGGGGTTCGATCCCCAGCCATGTCATACCAAAATGTTAAGAGAAGGTACTTGTTCTTACCCTGTCTGGCGCTCGGCATTAAGGGGCTAAAACACGGAGCCCCCCCCCCCCCACACACACACACACACACACACACATCGCCATACTAGTACAATAATCGTAAATACAACGTTAAACCCCATTTCACCTCACCTGACCTCTTCAATAAACATACCACATACAACAGTGAGTTGATTGTAACATTTCACATGATGATCCATTGCCCTATTTAGTATCTCATGAAAACATTTTAATCCAGATGTTGACACATTTGTTTTACCTTCAGGTTACAATTTTGGAAAGCGCCAGAATGGGAACGTGGTGTGGGATGTGACGTTGCCGCCGTGGGCCCGAGGGGACTCCCGCCTGTTTGTGATGGTCCTCCGCCAGGCGCTGGAGTCGCCGTACGTCACCCGCCGCATCCATCAGTGGATCGACCTGGTGTTCGGCTACAAGCAGATGGGAGAGGAGGCAATCAAAGCCATCAACGTCTTCCATCCATCAGTCAGTTCTACTTTCTACTAAGAAAGTGTTATCCTAAATGTAACATTTGTTACATTTGACCACTTTCTAAATGGCATTGTGTGTTAATAGCTTTCGGCCGTGGGAGCCGTGCCAAATTGCACTTGACAGAGGGGTACACAAAGTACGTGATCTAGACTACCAGTTGTCGGACTTTCATTTTGGTAGAAGCCTCGGTGGCTAGGTGGGTTAGATCGCTGACTTTGTGTGCTGGCAATTAAATGCCTCACTCTGGCAGTGTGGGTTGAAATCCTCGATGGGACTCAACCCCCCCAAAAAAATACTAGAATCTGTACTTTACACAGAAAGTGTTACCCCAAATATAACATTTGTTACAGTTCTCCTTTCACACTTCATTGCTTGTGATGATAGCCTTTACAATTGGTATGTAGTATCAAGCTGTTAGTGGAATTTGCTAGATTGGGAGAAGACCCTTAGTCATGAAATCAGAGTTTTTTTTGTGTTGTAGGTAAATAATATTTGGCCTAATGTTGCGATTTTAGGGGGAAATTCTTCATGCATTTTTGGGAGCCAAGGTTTACCCGGCGGTGCATCCGGAGTAGCGGTACATCAAGGAGCGTTAAGTCGAGGGATCACTGTACTATAACATAAACATGTTTTTTGTGAAGTCTTCTCAATTTGATTTAAACATATTTCAGAGTAATATGTTTCTACCCACAATCTCTGGTTGAACTAGTGGCCCTTTTTGCCAAGTAAATCATATCCTTGTGTACTACATATATTAAGTAATGTAAATGTGGTTTTGTGTGTAGACGTACTTTGGAGTCGACATGAGCGACATCACGGATCCCCTGAAGCGCCAGGCAGTGCTGACAATGATCAAGACGTACGGACAGACCCCCAAACAGCTGTTCCGCAGCCCCCACCGCCAGTGTGTGGTGACCGGGACCACGCCCGCCACACCCCTGCTGGCAGACCCTCACCTTGCTGGGCGGGAGGTAAAGCATCTGTCTTATATTGTAAGTTAACTCCCTTAGAGCATGCAGCCTAGCTTGATGTTGTGGGACACTAATATGTTGGAGAACTCACTCACTAAGGTTTGTACATGTTGTGCTGTTTATGCAGCGGTTGGCCTCTCTCCCTCCCTCGGCCTCTCTCCCACCCTCCTCCTCTCTCACTCCCTCATGAATCGACTCCTCCTGTGCCCCCCACCCCACCAAACACCAACCCTCCGCCACCTTACATTGTTCGTGAACCTACCTTACAACCCACCAAATACCAACCCTCCGCCACCTTACAACGTTCGTAAACCCAACTTACACCCCACCTTACACCCCATCAAACACCAACCCTCCGCCACCTTACATTGTTCGTAAACCCACCTTACACCCCACCTTACACCCCATCAAAGACCAACCCTCCGCCACCTTACATTGTTCGTAAACCCACCTTACACCCCATAAAACACCAACCCTTCACCACCTTACATTGTTCGTAAACCCACCTTACACCCCACCAAACACCAACCCTCCGCCACCTTACATTGTTCGTAAACCCACCTTACACCCCACCTTACACCCCATGAAATACCAACCCTCCACCACCTCGCCACCTCCAGACACCCACCTTACACCCTCTATTAACCAGCCATACCCCTCTGCATTGTTACTGTATCAATTCTAGTTTCATTTTTCTCTTTTGGTGTGAAACTAATGAAAGCTAATACAAGTATTTCAAGCATTACCCTAAATATGCTTGTCGCTTATCATGTTTTTCATTCATATCTATATCATCATTAAGATGCATGGAAGTATAAGCTCGCTCCCCCTTGACAGTTCACCAAGAGTGATATTTATTACATCATTTGACATTTGTCTATATGCATGCTTATAACGCTCTGACAGATATAACAAACTTTTTGGGGTCCCAGCCATTTTCTGTATATATGCTGTATATATGCTTACAACAAACTACGGTTATAACGAACCAAAATTAATGGTCGCTTAAGTTCATTATACCTGTTTACTGTAATCCCTTGCTATTGCAGCGCCGTCCTATCTCCAACATCAACGGCCTACGCTGGGGCAACTTCGTGGGATCCCCTGAGGGTGGTACGCCGGTGACGGTTTGGAGGAAGGTGTACCCGGTCGTCATCACCACCTTGGTCCCCCTGCCCACCGGCTACGTGTTCGGGCTGGAGGCCGACTCCTGTGCCCTGGTGCTCCATGCAAAAGACAGGGGTGAGCTGACATTCCTTGGAGGGAGGCCATACCTGGCAGTGATGTAGACATCAGTGTTACATGTTCCTTGACCCGTGAACATCCGGGTTAGAACAGGTCTTCAGCAACCCATGCTTGCTGCAAGAGGCGACTAACGGCGATCTGGTGATCAGAGGCGATCTGGTGATCAGGCTCGCTGACTTGGTTGATGCAATGCATCGTATCCCAATTGCGTAGATTGAAGCTCATGATGTCAATCACTGGATTTTGTACAGACTGACGTCATATAGCTGGATTATGTTTGCTGAATGCAGCATTAAGCCACAAACAAACAAAACATGATCCCCATTGCTGGTAGTGACAGTATGAAGCATGCAACTTCAGCATTTCATCAAGAAACACATTATGTCTTTATCATTAGCCATACATTAAGGTTAAGCAAGGCAGATTCTTATTGACCACAGATATACTTCTCAACAGACGTGGTCTCAGGTTAACAAAAGTAATATGAAAGAATCATGTTTTCTTCAACTTCTTTGAGTATAATATATACCGTATTCGATGTAATAAGCGCCCAGGGTGCTCTCCAAATTAGAAATAGGGGGCTCTTATTAGAATATTATTTTGGTGGAAACACAGATGAAAGATAAATTTCATGGTTTATGCTGACAGCCTGAAATGTTTATGTACGACAGATATATTTTTCCAGAATTTAATTGCCCATAATTAAGGGTGCATATAACACACGAATGTGTATTATACACGAATAAATAAGTCTTGTGTACATTGATCAATCGGAAGGGGTGCTAATTGGGATTGTTCACTAGCCAATATGTTAGCAATTATCGCCGTGGGCACTTATTAGAGCAAGACGCTTATTACGTCGAATACGGTAAACGTTTGCATAATATTCAAAAACAAGTGTTGTATGTAAAATTTATTGATCCTTATCCCAAATCTGACCAATGCCAAGTTAAAGAAATCTTATTCTTTTTTCCTATAACTTTAATTAATCTGCCTTCGGCAGTAGGTATTGTAACGCACAGCACACCAATTGTAGGTGTTCTTTAACTTATTTTGAGTAGTATACATCTACATTCTTGTGGTGAATATACATCCAGCTGCTTAACATTTGTTTATGGGCCATTGAAGATCCTGGGTAGAATAGGTCTTCAGCAACCCATGCTTGCCGTAAAAGGCGACTCACAAGATTGGGTGGTCAGGCTCGCTGACTTGATTTGATGCATGTCATCGTATCCAAATTGCATAGATCAGTGGTTGGTGCATGTCATCGTATCCCAATTGCATAGATCAGTGGTTGGTGCATGTCATCGTATCCCAATTGTAAGGATCAATGACTGGATTGTCTGGTCCTATCTCAATTATTTACAGACCGCCATCATGTAGGTGGAGTATTGCTGAGTGCAGCATTAAAACAACATTTGTTTATGGATATACATAAGGTGTGAAAACATGAATAAGACACAGATATACACTCACAACAAGATGCTAAGATACATTAACGGAATGTGATGTTCCCAGTGGTTGTGAGTTCCATGATGGCTGTTTGTAGCGGACCTGGTGGTCAACTCCACGGACGTGATGTGGGCGGGCATCATCAGCTGGGGCCACCCAGACCGCATCCTACGGGTCCGGAACCAGTTCAACCGACCAATGGTCAACTTCCTCCCAGACAACCCCTATGACGAGGTGAGTGCTCCGGCAGTGAGTGCTGTGGGTGCATGTGTCCCTGTACATGTGTGTGCCTGAGTCTTTGTGACTGAGTTCATACTGCATCAATAGCATTCGTATTCTAAACACTTATCCATGGTTGGGACTGGTTTTCTATTCTTCAGTATAGTGACTGGATATTTGGTGGCGGTGCTTAATGTTAATCATCTGTCCATCTTGAATTGTTTGATAGGCATTACTTAGAAGCTGACAGATGACACAAATTATTGATAATAACTTTATATTTACTGTCCATCCATCTACTGGTACATGTTCGAACATAAATATCAGCTAAATTGTTTGGGCAATTAACTGAATTTCCAATTTATGGCCAGTTGGAGAAAATTGACAATGGAGTGAGTGAGTTAAAATGTAATTTATCATTAACCGTGATGCGATTTGTGAAACTTTGTTGAGAGCAGGAACTTGAGGCCAGGTTTGGATAGCTCTGTTTATGTTAGTTCTAGCTTCTGCACTTCTGTTTTCTTCCTACTAGATATCTTGCTGTGCGTCTGTGCCAGACTGTCGTCTGCTGTTCACAGCAGGGTCTGCCGGTATCGTCAACGTGTATCATGTGACCTATAACCGGTCCAAGGTGAGTGGGCGCACAAGGGGCAATTAGTGCACAAGGGGAGATTGGTGCACAAAGGGAGATTGGTGCACAAAGGGAGATTGGTGCACAAAGGGAGATTGGTGCACAAGGGGAGATTGGTGCACAAAGGGAGATTGGTGCACAAGGGGAGATTGGTGCACAAGGGGAGATTGGTGCACAAAGGGAGATTGGTGCACAAGGGGAGATTGGTGCACAAGGGGAGATTGGTGCACAAGGGGAGATCAGTGCACAAGGGGAGATTGATACTCAAGGGGAGATTGGTGCACAAAGGGAGATTGGTGCACAAGGGGAGATCAGTGCACAAAGGGAGATTGGTGCACAAAGGGAGATTGGTGCACAAGGGGAGATTGGTGCACAAGGGGAGATTGGTGCACAAAGGGAGATTGGTGCACAAAGGGAGATTGGTGCACAAGGGGAGATTGGTGCACAAAGGGAGATTGGTGCACAAAGGGAGATTGGTGCACAAGGGGAGATTGGTGCACAAGGGGAGATCAGTGCACAAGGGGAGATTGATACTCAAAGGGAGATTGGTTTTGGTACACAAGGGGAGATTGGTTTTGGTACACAAGGGGAGATTGGTTTTGGTTCACAAGGGGAGATTGGTGCACAAAGGGAGATTGGTCCTCAAGGGGAGATTGGTACTCAAGGGGAGATTGGTGCACAAGGGGAGATTGGTGCACAAAGGGAGATTGGTGCACAAGGGGAGATTGGTACTCAAGGGGAGATTGGTGCACAAGGGGAGATTGGTGCACAAAGGGAGATTGGTTTTGGTACACAGGGGGAGATTGGTTTTGGCACACAGGGGGAGATTGGTTTTGGTACACAAGGGGAGATTGGTGCACAAAGGGAGATTGGTCATAAAGATGAAATCTTGCTTAGTGCAGCGTTAAACAAAACTCTTCTCATGGTATTGCGTTCATGGCACCCTCCATAGTTTAAGTGGTTGCTAGGAAACTTTGAATTAAGAAAATATCACATATATGCTGGCTCCTAATGTTAATTTAGTTAGAAATGTAGGTATATAACCAGACAGACATAAATATTTATTAGAGCACAGCTATAAACTCTGATCTAATGGGCATTGAGTCATTTGGGTGACATGTAGTACAATCATACCCCGATCTCACAGATACAGTTTAACTTTCAGGCCAGCAATCTCCAGGTGTTTAACACTCGGACAGCACTGTACGGCCACACTGGTCCTGTCAATGTGTTGTATGTGTGTAAATCCTACAGTGTGCTTGTCAGTGGCAGCGAGGATGGAACCTGCATCATCTGGGATCTCAACAGGTCGGTATCAGGAGTTACCTCCCTTACATCAAATTGGGAGTTACCTCCCTTATACCATGTGTTGGAAGCTGGTGGCTCTCATTCTGGAATTCTTAGCATCTGTTTCCTGAGATTCAAACATGATGGCAGATTTATGCTGTTGATATAGATATTTTATTCTAATATAAACACTTCTTACATTAATGACAATATTTATTACATAACGAACTTGTATATGGTTTCATAGAGAGAGAGAAAACAATTTGCAAGAAATGTTGCCTGTGTTTGTCTTAGTTTGTTTTGAACATGTGTAACTTGAGTAAACCTTGCAATAATTTGATTGATATTCTAGACTGTCGTATGTGCGGTCAATCAGCAGCCACAATGCCAGTGTGAAGACTCTGGCCGTCAGTGACACCATGGGAGATATCGCCAGTGTCAGCCCCAGAGGTAGGTAGCCCCAGTTTCCAAGAAAATAAAATGATTATCTCAATGAGGGACATGACAAAGTTGATATTCTCATGCTTGTTTGTTTGTTTGTTTCTTTCTTTCTTTCTTTGTTGTTAAATGCTGCACTCAGCAACATTCCAGCTATATAATGACGACCTGTAAATAATCAAGTCTGTACCAGACAAACCAGTGATTGATAATGTGAGCAAACGTCCACGCCGTCGGGTAACAATGACTCGCTCTCAACGAACTCACCAAGTCTGACCATTCATTCGGTTGCCTCTCATGAGCATTATGAAAAATGAAACTATTTTATGCTGCATTCATCATGAATGGATTTGGATATAAGTGATGGCTGTGGATGGTGTGTTTATGTCCAATACTTGTGTTACAGCTCTGGGCAGTTTCCTGCAGCTCCACACAATCAACGGTCAGTTTGTGGCTTCAAGAAAGTGTGATGAGTTCACCATCAACTGCGTTGCCTTTTCCCGTGCCCCGGAGGGTCGGGCCATCAACGTCATCGCTGGCGGACTCAGCACCGGGGTGGTCAGGTAGGACAGACACCATATACCGAGGGACAGGCCAAGGGCCTAGTTGGAGGCTGATCAGTGATGCGTAGGACCAAACCACACTTTAATGCAAAATTGCGAGAGTCAAAGATTTACATGCGAGGTTTTCGTGAATTGACTAATCAGCTGTCCTACCCTTTACATATTTATGAATGTACAGTTATGTTAGTTTTCTTGATTTGTTAAAGGACATTTATAATAAAAAGGTAGCTCCATATATACGTTGACATTCTCGCAAAGTAACGAATGGAAACATTGTACCACATCCCATTGTTCTATTGTACGAAAAGAAAATGGTGATCTGCAAGAAATTCACAATTTATCCATTTTCCGGTACAAAGTACCCAATTAAATATGAATCAAAGTCTGTAGTTTTTGGAGTCACTCGGAAGATTTATTCTATTTCTTTGTAGTGGCATAACTGTTTTCATATGTAGTGTCAAATGTATAATGGTTAAACATCATTAAAATTAACTAAAAGTAGAGTTTAACATTTGACCATTATTTTGTGCATGTGTCCATGATAAAAAATATTTTTAAAGTTTCTTTCTGATTTTTTTAGAATTTTAGAAAAAAACATTGAATGTTTCCAAGTGATAATTGTCTTGTTGAGATGGTGTTTTTTACATTTACATTTTAAAGACGTAATGTTTGGACTACTTTCTCTGCTTAATGACAGATAAATTTGATCAAATAAAGTACTCATTTTCAAAATAATAAAACAAGAAATTTTAATCTGAACAACCGGTAATTGGGATATCGGTGAACACCATTGTTTTGGTTTAAATATGAAAATAATGTCTTATCAACTTTACTGTAATATATTTTTTGTGAAATTATTATGATTCATCCCCTTTCTATTATTTTTTGTTGTTGTACACAAGACCATAATTAATTAATTACCAGATTTTAATCCAACTTCTCCAAAAAAGTGAGGCAGGATGCATTTGACAAACTTCGCATGTTAATCCTGTTATTACACTATCTGGTTATAGGAAAAGAGTGTTCAATGTATATTTGGACTCATGTTTGTCATTTTATTAATTTTATTAAAAACTTCTGTTTAAATTAATTTTGGCGAAGTTGTGTGTCAACTGATCGGCAGATCACTCCATCTCACAGTTATTTACAGCAACGACGATCAGATTACAGCTACTGGCGCTTTGAAACTAACGTTAGTTGACAGAGAATGGATACATATATAATAATTGCCATATTTTGACTCGTTAAGTTCATGTTTGTTTTAGTTTGACTATTATATGTCAACATATTCTTTTCGCGATCGAATTAGCAAAAATGTGGGAAGGATCTAACGGTGACCCGCCAAACTGTTCCATACGTAAAATACTTCCGGATGAATATCAAAGTGCTATGTTTATGGTTACTATTATTAATTTATATTATTAGTTTGTGAAGCTTAGTGTCAGTATCTCTGTATCTGTGTATCTCAGTATCTGTACCTCAGTATCTGTATTTTTGTACTTTGTACCTTAGTTTTTCTTTTTCACAGTATCTGAACCTCTGTATCATAATATCTGCACCACTGTATCTTAATATGTGTACCTCAGTTTCTTAGTATCTGTATTGACTGAACCTCTTTATCGTCAGAGTCTGTACCACTGTATCCCACTATTTTAGTATCAGTATCTCAGTATCCATGTATCTGTACCAGGTTGTGGAGCAGCTGGGACCTGACTGTCCTGCGAGATCTCAGCCACGAGCATTCCATAGCGAGGCCAGTCGTCAGGTGAGATTCCATTCATTTTAATCTTCATCCCGCGGGACGGAGATGGAGTAGCCTTGTGGTGAAAGCATTTGCTTGTCATGCCACTGGCCCAGGGTGCTGTGTACAAAGCAACCTTAGCACTACGACTGTCGTATGTCCTTGTAATGGTATGGGAGTTACGATCACCTTAGCGCTAAGATCACTTTGTACAACGGCACCCTGGTCCAGTTCCGCCAATGGGTACAATGTGTGAAGCCCATCAATGGCTTCCTGTACCTTGCTATTGCTGGAATATTGCTTAAACCAGCATAAAACCTCACTCACTCACTCATTCACTTATACAGCTAAGTTTTATTTCTATATTACTGTGAATTTTGTCGTCTGTATTTTTCAGTGTCATATTTACCCATGATTCCCAGCGCCTGTTTGCGTCTGCCCTGGATGGGAGCGTGACACTCTGGGAAAAGCCGTCACAGTCGAAACCTAAACCAGAGAACTTCATTGCATTTGTGGAAAAAACAACATGAACGTCACGTGTGTGATTCAGAGAGACTCACTTGACCATTGTGGATGTGTCTGCAGGGAACTAGTAGAGAGTACTGTGGAAGACAAACATTACTGGCTCATCAGTGGAATAGTACTATACAGTATCACAGAGTACTGTTCAGTACAGCAGGCCAACTGAGTCATGAGTGGAATAGTGCTATTCAGTAAGACAACGCTACTGAGTCAGCAATGGAATAGTACTGTTCAGTACAGCAGGGCTACTGATTCAGCAATGGAATAGTACTGTTCAGTACAGCAGGGCTACTGAGTCATCAATGGAATAGTACTGGTCAGTACAGCAGGGCTACTGAGTCATCGATGGAATAGTACTGTTCAGTACAGCAGGGCTACTGATTCACCAACGGAATAGTGCTGTTCAGTACAGCAGGGCTACTGATTCACCAACGGAATAGTGCTGTTCAGTACAGCAGGGCTACTGAGTCATCGATGGAATAGTACTGTTCAGTACAGCAGGGCTACTGATTCACCAACGGAATAGTGCTGTTCAGTACAGCAGGGATACTGAGTCATCGATGGAATAGTACTGTTCAGTACAGCAGGGCTACTGATTCACCAACGGAATAGTGCTGTTCAGTACAGCAGGGATACTGAGTCATCGATGGAATAGTACTGTTCAGTACAGCAGGGCTACTGAGTCATCGATGGAATAGTACTGTTCAGTACAGCAGGGCTACTGAGTCATCGATGGAATAGTGCTGTTCAGTACAAGAGGCCTACTGATAAATCGATGGAATAGTACTGTGTAGTATCACAGCAATTGCTCCTGGCCTAAGTGTCAGGTGGAGACTGATAGTGTGGAGACACTTGTTCGTATTACAGGAAGGTGATATGAATTTGTCATAACTATGTGAATATTTCATGGCATACTGAAAGCCTTATTGTGCCGCCGTAGTTGGAAACATGTCACTGACTGTGATAGTGTGATGTGCTTCCTACTGTGTGGAAACCACCATGTGAACAGTGTGTCACGGTGACGACTCAAGGTGTCAGCTGATAGCCATGGTTGTGAACTGGCGATGATGAGGATGGTGATGTACAGCTGCACAGATTGACCAGTCAAAACGAAATGTTGTGCTCACCTATCAAACAGTATTTTTCACAAATCTGCAACATTATGGGTAAAAATTATCTTTATCATGTATTTAATTAACAATACATTATAGTTTTTGGGGAAGACAAGTTACAATGAAATACCGTATTCGCCATATTAAGTGCCCCAGACAAACTCTAGATAGATTTGTATGTAATTTTCATTTGTGCTTGCTACGAAGCCGGAATACTGACATGACTGTCATTAGTTTTCTTGTACATATTACAGATCTTTTTAAACTGAACAGCAATGTAAAGAGAGTATGTAGCTTGTAATATGTGTTTTAAAAACCTTTTAGTTTCATGAACGTTTGAACTAATTCTGTCCTTACTGCTCTGTGACAGCAAATTTAACTTATGTTTTTAATAAGTATGGTTTTAATAAGTACACCCTTTGTCTTTTTTTTCTAAGCACCCTGGGCGCATATTATAGTAAATATGGTAGGTGTGTCAGCACCATGCCATCATTTCACACCGAGAAGATTGTCACAACCATGTTGATGATTATGTGCCATTTTCCGCCTATGTATAGAAGAATTAGACTACATTCCACCGTATGTGTTGTAATAAATGATCTCATACCGTATATACTTAAATATAATATTATTTCATTGCTGTTGTGTTACCACTGAAAATAAATTATATTGTGTGTTATCACTGAAAATAAGTTATAATATATTTCTATATAGACTTTTATCAGTGTTACGTTAGTCTGGCCCTATATTGTTAATACGATTCATCCCTCTTAGCCTTGACTACTGGAGAGCTTGTTACCAAAGTCTATAGATTTATTTTGGGGATCGTCAAGATGTAAGATATCTTTTATATATGAGAATCACCCTGTTTTTACTTGGGATGCACAATTTGAGAGTATGAAGCAGAATCTGGGACAATTCTATCTGCCATATTGATCAACGTATGAAGGATGTGTTTAGATGGAGCTGTCACTCAAACCAAGTTATTAATTACTTCTCCACCTTTGATGGGGGTATGTCTTGTATCTCCGTGATACACAGCACTGATTCTCATGGCAAGTGTACATTGAAATAGAAGGACATATCTGCTTATCTTTATCAAGAGTTGAGTAGTATATTTTTGGTTTATCGGGGCACTTCAGGATTATGAGAAGGCAAAGATAGGCCAGAATGTTAATGTAACGATGCCTGTTCCAGTGGAATTGAGGATGTGGAATTAACCTGATTGATGCCTCTCTTATGTTGATTAAAACAGTGAAGACCCGGGGTAGAATAGGTCTTCAGCAACCCATGCTTGTCTCCCCCGTGAAGATCCGGGTTAGAATAGGATTTCACCAACCTGTGCATGTCGCCCCCGTGAAGATCGGGGTAGAATAGGTCTTCACCAACCCATGCTTGTCAGAAGAGGCGACTAATGGGATCAGGTGGTCAGGCTCGCTGACTTGGTTGGTGCATGTCATCGTATCCCAATTGCATAGATTGATGCTCATGATATCAATCACTGGATTGTCAGGCCCAGATTTGAATTTTGACACACTGCCATCATTTAGCTGGAATCTTGCCGAGTGCGGCGTTAAACAACAAACAAACATACATTAATTATCTTGTAAATAATTGAATATTGTAAAAGCATTTTGTTACATTGAATAACCTCATAACGCTTCTGTTCTGCCAACTTTATACTGGCAGAAATGGCAGTTTGTGGATTTGTAAGAATAGTGGCTCCTAGTATTACTCTGGTGAAATAATCAATGGGAAACTGTGGAAAGTCTTGATTGCTCGTAACGTGTGTGATATTTTCCAACTCTATGTGACTGTCATGGACATCACATTTCAGGGACAAGTAGAGAGTTCCTGTGAAAGTACTTACTTTATACATAGATACAAACTTGAGATTTGTATCCATCTAGTGTGCCTCTTATACCATATGTACCATGTGTTCCTTGTATCATATGCCCCTTATGTATCATGTATCATATGACTATCCTCCCAACCCTGCTTAGTGCTGACGAGTGTATCGTGTTCTCAATTGCAGGGTAAATGATTTTCGGAAATCTGGGAATTATATTTTAAGTACCAAATCAGACATTACTACCAAATGTATATACTGTATTGCAATGTCATTGGCTGTTTCAGGGATGATGTTAGTACTTTAAATGTATTACTTTTAATGTATATGTCATATATGTTATGATTATATTGTTGTTTTATTCATACAGTTCATTGTTATGAACAGAAATGGACCTAAAGATGTGATGTACATTTTATAGATGGTGTAAGCTTTGGTAACAATGATATTCTTCTTCCTGTGTCCATACATTGGGCGCCATAACATTTGCTGTGTATAACTCATCCATTAGGAACCATGTCTCAGCATGTGCAAGACACACAGGGGGGATATCAGCCACAGTTTCTACTTGCTAGCTCAATAGGGGGAGGGACAAGTATATAATATATACTGAACAAATAAAGTTTGGGATCATGACTATTTTGGGGGATATTTTTTGGTAGTGAAAACCAGTTTCATAAAACTATCCCCAAAGTATTCATGATACAAACCTTTTTGGGTCAGTATACATTAAATATTGAGTCTTGATGGAATGCAGGTTAAGCAGTAATTAATATTTTTTTCATTAATTTTTTTTTTTTTCTCTTTGAAATGTTGGCCTTCAGTCCTGAGTGTACAATAAATATTTGTTTTAGGCCAGGTCTGTGATTTTGATGGTGTAGATAGTGTTTCTGACAGTAGTATATTGTGTTTTGTGATATTAATGAGTTTGTAGTAGCTTTTAAGAAGTGAAAATCACTTTTTATTTCCAACAATATATTTAGAATTTGACATAGTTTGACGTGTGTGGTTCCTGGGTGTATCCCCACAGTTTCAGCATCCTCGTCATTGTGAGAACAAGGAATGTCAATGAGATAGAATAAAAAACAGGACAATACCCTGACCTTGTAGACGACTGTCAGTGTAAATTTCCATGCATGCAAAGATGTGTAAATATATGTCTGATTGCCCATGTATACATATTTAGGAATTTGTTGTGCATAGAACAACAAACAAGGATTGACTTTTGTTGTGAAGACTCACAGAGAATAGTTGTAATATTTATTAGCGGCATTAAGCAAGATCCATTTCTTCATTGTGTATAGATTCTATACTTTGTTATGGTCAAGTCAAAATATACTGAACAAAAAAAGATCATGTAACTCAAGTCTAACTACAAAAAATATCCCCAAAGTTTCATGATCCCTAACTTGATTTGTTCAGAATATAATGGTGCATATTGTGGATGTGTGGGTAGTGAGGTAGTTGCCTACCACGTCATAAGACTGATCATGTAGAAATCCAGGAATATCTTAATTTATAAGAAACAGGGTTTTGTACCAGCAAGATTGTCACCAGGCTAACCTTGACCTTCAGGTCGATTGGTGTGACCTTGGGATTAAGGTTTGTTTGGTATCAGCTAAAACGAAAATGTTTCTGTTGTCAGTGTAGGCTGAGAGTGTTGTCAGTGTAGGCTGAGAGTGTTGTCAGTGAAGGCTGAGAGTGTTGTCAGTGTAGGCTGAGAGTATTGTCAGTGTAGGCTGAGAGTGGTGTCAGTGTAGGCTGAAAGTGTTGTCAGTGTAGGCTGAAAGTGTTGTCAGTGTATGCTGAGAGTGTTGTCAGTGTAGGCTGAAAGTGTTGTCAGTGTATGCTGAAAGTGTTGTCAGTGTAGGCTGAGAGTGTTGTCAGTGTAGGATGAAAGTGTTGTCAGTGTAGGCTGAAAGTGTTGTCAGTGTAGGCTGAAAGTGTTGTCAGTGTAGGCTGAGAGGGTTGTCAGTGTAGGCTGAAAGTTTTGTCAGTGTAGGCTGAGAGTGTTGTCAGTGTAGGCTGAAAGTGTTGTCAGTGTAGGCTGAAAGTGTTGTCAGTGTATGCTGAGAGTGTTGTCAGTGTAGGCTGAAAGTGTTGTCAGTGTAGGCTGAAAGTGTTGTCAGTGTAGGCTGAAAGTGTTGTCAGTGTAGGCTGAGAGTGTTGCCAGTGTAGGCTGAGAGTGTTGTCAGTGTATGCTGAAAGTGTATTTTGTCCTGACATAACTATGCATACATGACATCAGTAAGTATTTCCTACAGTGTAGCAATATAGATTCTGAGACTAGTTAAATATAGTAGTTATATCCCATCAAGAATATGACATCCATGTATGGTGATGTTATAGTCTATATTCCCAGTGATGCATGTTGAATACATGGTGAACTCTGAGCTTTGTTATGAATGCTATGTAAATTATATATCCCTTAAAAAATGTTATGCATCACCCGATGCTTTCATATTACTATGGCTAATCTTTAGGGCATTTCAGGGTAACTATAGTAATATGAAAGAATCAGAAAGGTAATAAACAAATACAAATATATTTTGTTTCTTTGTATTTCTGTGTTAGGATCAGTTTTCCTCATTTAATAGTATCTGCAGTTCACTGTGTGAGGCCTTCAAAGGGCAGCAACACATCACAGAAAGGAGCATCTCAGAAGAATCTGATCAGTGGCAAAATAATCTGCTTAGCCAGGACGAGAATAATTAAAGTTGACGTTGAGTGAAGTGAGCACAACGCTGCCTAGTGTCGACATTATGCTTGGATGGGCGACCACATTGAAGCCAAACACTAGTTGTGATCTTACGGATTAACAGACCATCATCCTATGTGGAGAGTGTGAATTGATGTTCATGCTATCAATCACTGGTTTGCCAGCTGCAAGCTTGATTACACTGCAGGCAAAGTAGCCAAGGTTTTCCACGCTTCTATCCATGGTGTTTTCACAGAATGCTGACCTGATTTGTGGTAGCTGATGTATAATTAATGTTGTTCCAGAAGTAGTCCACAAGTCAAATGGTGTCGAACTACCTACAACCAACTGTCAAATAGTACACAGTTGTTTATCCTATAGTAAACTCTTTCCTGATCATTTTCCTGCAATGTTTCTACATATTTCCTGAGGCAGTCGGGTAGCCTAGTGGTTAAAGCGTTAGCTCGTCACGCCAAAGACCCGAGGTCGATTTCCGACATGGGTACATTGAGTGAAGCTCATTTCTGGTGTCCCCTGTCATGATATTGCTGTAATATTGCCAAAAGTGAGGTAAAACCAAACTCACTTACTCACATATTCCCTTTTGTTGTGTTAGTGCACACTTTTGCCCATTCACTAACAAATCACATAATCCTTCTCAATAAATCACTGAGGACATGGGTTGCCCCAGGTTTGAATATGTCAGCACTGGTGGGAGTTCAAATCCCGGATTCACCCCAGTCCTGATTTGTCCTGGGTCGGCGCCATCCCTGTGATTGTGGCAGACATCTGCAACCTGCATCACTTCAGGCCTTCCTCTTACACTCAGCTTACATGCAGTAATGGAACTTAAATACTGTTGTGGCATGAAACATTTCACTCTCAAAGACCGCTCGACATACTGAACAAGTTCCTACTTCTTTGCCACTGTTGAACACTACCTACAGTGAAGATCCAGGTTAGAATTTGTCTTCAGCAACCCATGTTTGTCATAAAAGACGACTAACAGGATCAGGTGGTAAGGCTCGCTGACTTGGTTTATGCATGTCATCGTCTCCCAATATCAAAGATTGATGCTCATGATGTCAGTCACTGGTTTGCCTGGTCCAGACTTTATTATTTACAAACTGACATCATATAGCTGGAATATTGATAAGTGCAGCATTAAACGGCACTTACTAAAACAAAAAACACCTTGTTCTATTCTGCATCCTCCTGCTAATTTTATTACTACAAATCTTCGTCTCGAGCTCCTTGGACTGCCTTCATCCATCTGTCTCCAACTCCAGGTGGGCTCTAGTGTCATGGAAGAGATAACGCGGAACAGTCTGGGTCACAACCCAAGGACAAAACATCCCGGGAATGTACTGGGTCATCACACAGTTACTGGCAAATGCCACTGTTCAGAACCCTGTGACCCCAGGGACAATGCAAGGATGACTCATGCTTGTTCTGGACCACCTTGTACACAGCGAAAATTGCTAAAACTGTTGGATTTGTTTTTTGTAATTTGTTTGTTTGTTTTTTTGTTGTTTAACGCCGCACACAGCAATATTCCAGCTATATGACAGTGATCTGTAAATAATCGAGTCTGGACCAAACAATCCAGTGACCGACATCCTGAGGATTGATCTACGCATTTGGGATACAGTGACATGCATCAACCAAGTCAGTGAGCCTGACCACCCGATCCCATGAGTCGCCTCTTACAACAAGCACAGTCGCCTGTTACGACAAACATGGCTGCTGAAGACCTATTCTCTACCCTGATCTTCATGGGTCTTAACTGTATGGAACTCCTTTACTATGACAATAAGGTGAAAATAGTTATAGCACTATCAGCTCTTGATGCAAGTGAGTCTTGGACCTTCTTACTCAGTCATATCACTATAAGATCAATCATGACGCAACAGCTGTTGTAGTTCATAAAGTATTGAAGTTACAACAGTCTGACACTACAATCACTTACACAAAATGTCTGTTTTATTTCTATGATCATTTTTTTCAGTCGAGATGTGTGGTACAGAAAATGATGAGACGTGATTTAGTGATATCAGGTTTATTTCAAATAATAAGGCAATATATACACAGCTAACTGTCAGTGCCATCATCTGATGGTGAAGATCGTAGCCTCAGACACAGTCATTCAACACTTACAGTGCAAGCTGGGGCAACAGAAAGGTGCAAAGCTCGTATGAGAAACCTCAATGGTACAACAATGTCTGTTGGACAAATACTAAATAGGTTGTGTTGAATTTTGAATCAAGCATACTGTAGAATACGTAGTGGGAACGGATTGGGAAATGTTTACGCAAGTTGCGACTCTTCAGAGAGATATCAAATTCCTTGTTGAGGAAACGTCCATGCAAAGGCCAGACACAGACACTTAGGTCAATGAATCCAGTGGACAATAGTAGACTGGGATCTAAGCATGACTTCGAGAGGTGTCATTGAACATGGACTTCGAGAGGTGTCATAGAACACCGACTTCGAGAGGTGTCATAGAACACGGACTTCGAGAGGTGTTATAGAACACAGACTTTGAGAGGTGTTATAGAACACGGACTTCGAGAGGTGTTATAGTACACAGACTTCGAGAGGTGTCATAGAACACAGACTTTGAGAGGTGTTATAGAACACGGACTTCGAGAGGTGTTATAGAACACGGACTTCGAGAGGTGTTATAGAACACGGACTTTGAGAGGTGATATAGAACACGGACTTCGAAAGGTGTTATAGAACACGGACTTCGAGAGGTGTTATAGAACATGGACTTTGAGAGGTGTCATAGAACACTGGAAGTGGCATAAGTCTTGAAGACCAGAAGCATGTAAATCAGATGATATACACACAGCTAAAACAGCAAGGCATAAATAGCTGAAAATAGGACTATTTCAAAGCAATCGGTGCAAGCAGACAGGTACTCTGGTTCATGTGAAAAAGACCTACAGTTGTGAAAGGCAAACAGGTAAATAAAGCCTCATTATAATTGTGTGTTTCAGGCAACCTGCTCTCCAACCCAATTATGGTAATCATTGTTCATGACTCACTCACTAGGTATATTTTTCACAGTCTGAAAACCATGAAGTTTTCAACCTCAAGCTCCATATTAAACAACACTGTTACTTGTGTAGCAGTGATGTGTTCATCAGCATTACATGGCTCTGTCATGAACAAAAATCCCTAATCCTAAGGGACCGGTCATTTACTATTGGGTGGTTAGGTCAGAGGCAATTGGGAGAGGCATAAAAAATAATACACATATTCAGGGAAGGTCCTGAAAACATGGCCAGTTTAAAATAAAGTATACAGTGCTTTTTTGTCTTTTCAGGGAAGGTCATGAAAAAATTGTGCAAGGACATGGGGAATGTCATCCATAATATGACAAGCATTAGGGGAGGGTCATTATTTTATGTATGTTTGTGCATCGGAAATTTGCTGACACCCTGCAGTAATAAATGATCGTTCCCTAACCAACGTTTGAAACCAAGATTGGCTTGCACGAAACTGCCATTGTTTCCCTGGTGGCCTTCGAAGGCATATTGCTACTGAAAGACTTGATCTCCAGCCGACGACATTCGGACTGTACGAGCAGATCTACTACCACTACATCACAGCTCACTTCCAACACTGTATCCAAGACATCAATGGGGGTCCATGAGACAGGCTACAACTCGAATCCACGACACGAGAAGTAAACTTGGTCCTAACATGACACTCGACATGGCAGCGATGTCCAGACTTAATTTGATATATCCTTGAACATATACATTGTATACATTCCATAAAATCGTGAAATGTTGCACTTAACTGACAACATTTACAACTAAAAGCAAGTACATGCAGCGACATGGAACACAGATATTTCTTCTCAGACAAAATTTACAAGACATTTCAAAAACATCTAAAATCTAACACGGTGTATAGTGTTGCCATACTGGTGTGTACTGTGGATTTCAGTGGGTAGTGGCATATTGGGGGAAGTGTTTGAATAAAGGCACGTACATTGTGTCAACTAGTGTCCCACTACCGGTTCCTTCAGTCTACACGGTGTTCATTTGGCACTAAGAGAACGTACACTCAACTTTGGTCACATGACATGATCACATGATGTTTATGTACACTCTATGAGAGGATGGGATATGTTGATATTATGCATGACGTGGACACTAGTCCCTCCCAACTATGAGCACTGGTTTGAGCTAAAATAAGACCTGATCAGACAACAATGGAGTCTTCGACTTTGATCCAAACATCAAAGGTGCTAGTTTACCATATAAGCAGACATAACACAATATATAGTGTGCAAGTCAGTCACATGATCATGAGAAAATATGAGACAATGTGTACCGCATTATGCTACAATTATTATTATTATTAATTATTAATTAATTAACAACATATTATGCCGGATGTGACTTTGCAAAAGCAAATGTATTATTCTTATCATGATTTACATGAAATTTTAAAAATTGCAATAACACCAAGATATGAAATATCTATATTTCCGCACTTGAAACATCTGAGTTACCCAGAAAATCCTACAGTTGTCATAGTAACAAAGCAAAAAGGTTCCGGGAAATAAGGAAAAGGTAGTCAGCACCATGTAATCTGAACAAAAAAACATACACTCACATAACTAGTCAAGAAATGATGTCGAATATCTAAGCCATATTATTTTGAAGAACATTCGAGCAGTCCTTCACAGGAATAGTTCAATCTACAATGATTTTATACACCTAAACATGACTGGAACAAGGACTGACATCTGCTGGCCGTCTGGAGCGACGTCTGCTTCAATATCTACAACTGGAGTTGCTCCAGACACCAGCACTGTAGCACAGACAAGCCAGGACACTGTGGTACAGAGCCAGGGCTCCTCCAACTCACAGTGCCTCATACAAATATATTACTTTTTAAGCACTGCAATACTCACATGGAGCAAGTAATTTACCCTTTCAAATTCATTTTGCATTCTGTCAACATTTGTAAAATTGTAAACAAATTCATTCAAGAATCATTAATACTTTGTTTCTTTCATGACAAAAGGCAAACAAAATGTAAACATAATAAAGATTGTCATTACTGGATTGAAGTCTGATTGTTGAAAATTGTCACATCGTCAATACTTCACACTCAGTCACTGTGGTGACAGTCACAAGGAGCTATTTATATATCACACATCACAGTCACATGACAGATCACCTGACATGAACACAGTCACATGACCTTCAAGTCCATCTTTGGGCTGGTTCCACCAGACCCCTGTTCTATGAGTTGATGTCAACTACTCTCCATCACATCAAAAACGTCAGAATAAATACTTTAGCCCCACATAATCACAGATTTACTGTCTGAATGTACTGTAATCGTCTCGATCAGAGTCTGATTGTCACAGCTTCGGGTCTAACATGGTGGATCAGACCGAGTCAGTCTGTGATGGAGGCAGCTGAACCACCAACCGAGGCAGTGGATCCATTTTGCCTTTCGCCTCTCTGTCCAACGCTCGTGACGACTGAGAATCTGACGAGTATTCTGATTGGGAGTAGAGACCGAGCTGCGGATCGGACTCCTCTGGGAGCAGATCCGACCTGTTCCGGTGGGGGTCGCTCGCCGCGGAGGGAAGCATGTACTCCCCCAGGTCTGGCTGAAGACTGTTGCGGTCCCCTGGCGATGGTCCACCTCCACTCCCTGGTGCTAGTCAGAAGGAACTGTCAAGTAGTCTGATGGATATGCAAAGGTCACTGAATGATGGTCTGTCTTGTGGCAGTTCTGTCATGCACTTTCTTGCAATGTCTGCAATCTCAAGTGGACACTGTTCTGAAAATTCTAGCGACATCTCTCCCCCTTTCAACTCCTTGAGAATCTCTTGGTCACTCTTCAGTCTGTACGGAAGATCGGCTAAGTGAAACACCTCCCACAAAAGAACACCAAAGGACCACACATCAGTCTTTGAGGTGTATTCCTCCTCGTGCACTGCCTCTGGGGGCAGCCACCGCAAGGGTATGAGAACTCCGTTATGAGGGCAGTATTCATTTCCGTACACATCCAAACACAAGGATAAATTAGAGATCTTCAGGTCTAGCCGAGAAGTGAGGAGAATGTTTCGACATGCAAGGTCCTTGTTGACAAATCGTTGATTTGTCAGGTGTTCCATTCCTAGCGCCACCTGGTGACACATTCTCACTTTCTGTTGGGTGGTGAGATACGGGACCCGTGCAACGCGCCGGCCATTGTCACTTCTTGTAGCCAGGAGAAACTGTTTCAGGTCGCCCTGGAAACAGATAACAACATTTTAAAAACTCATAATTAAGAAACAATATCAATATTTCTTATCAACAACAAAGAACTGAAGCTCTGTCTACAATGTAATAAGTGTAACATTTCTTCATAACACAGTTATCTCCCTTGGTCTACTCAGCTCTTTTGAAGGTTTCTGCACACATCTTTTAATGTATTAACTTAATGAGTTTTGAAGCTTAAATGCATCTTGCCATATTACCAAAGATTAATTCTCAAAATACAGCATCTTGAGACAACAACACACAGCCTCATCACAATCAAATGGAATGAAAATAAAACCATCAGATTTTATCACCAGTTTCCTCAAGAGCCACAGTAATGACTTGGAGTTGCCTAAAGAGCAGCCTCATTAATGAGCAGAGGCCACAGAGTCAGTGTCGGAGATACCAGGTTATAGTGACCAGGCTCGACAGTGGACTCATTACAGGGGGAGATAAGATAAGGTGTGATATAGGGGTGTGATCCGATTAATAGCCAGCGTCCAGTGACTGACCATGAAGCACAGGCCAACATGGGGGGTGCCTATGATACAATACTGGAGGTTCAGATGACTCATCTTCAAATCAGACTTCATCTCCCTTACAACTCGGAGATAAGACATCGACGCCATGGGGAACGGATGCTACTTCAACACCAAGTGAAAACATGTCTCGACTGGGACTACATATTTTCTTTCCATTTGATAAACCTTAGATTTATCATCCATTTTCAAACTAAAAAGTCATGCGAAAATGTCCTGACTGCAATTGATATCCGCTAAATCATATTTTACAAAATTGTTAAAATAAGTCCTTGCTTTCAAGCTTCACCATACATAGTTCAATTTAATGACACAGAGCTTGGCACTGTGCCAGTGTCTAAAAATCATCTATAAACATGCACAAATATTTACTGCATCTTTAATACAAAGAAGTGTCTATATTAGCACTGATTTTCCACACATAATTATATACAAGACATACATCCTTTATTTTCTCTAATTCTTCCTAAAATGAAAACAAACTGCTATGTGGTCTATTAGTGAATATTTTCTCAGTATATCTCACCCAGTCACAATATTCTGTGATGAGAAACTGAGGCTCCATATCCCGGCAAACGCCAAGCAGACGCACAATATTCGGGTGGTCAAGTTTGCTATACATGTCCATTTCTTGCCGAAAGTTGAAAAAAGTGTGTTCGTCTTTCATCAATAAAGATTTGACCACTACAAGTGTTTCTATCTCAGTTTGTCGAATACCTCGTGCCTTGGCCAGAAACACATCGCCGTACTGTCCTTTCCCTGCAACACAAACACACCACTTAGTGACAGGTACCTTTAATATACACCACTTAGTGACAGGTGCCCTTTAACACACCACCTAGTGACAGTTACCTTTAATATACACCACTTAGTGACAGGTGCCCTTTAACACACCACCTAGTGACAGTTACCTTTAATACACACCACTGAGTGACAGGTGCCTTTAATACACACCTAATGACAGGTACCTTTAATATACACCACTTAGTGACAGGTACCTTTAATATACACCACTTAGTGACAGGTACCTTTAATACACACCACTTAGTAACAGGTGCCTTTAATACACACCACTTAGTGACAGGTGCCCTTTAACACACCACTTAGTGACAGGTACCTTTAATACACACCACTTAGTGACAGGTACCTTTAATACACACCACTTAGTGACAGGTACCTTTAATACACACCACTTAGTGACAGGTACCTTTAATACACACCACTTAGTGACAGGTGCCCTTTAACACACCACTTAGTGACAGGTACCTTTAATACACACCACTTAGTGACAGGTGCCCTTTAAAAGACACCACTTAGTTACAGGTACCTTTAATATACACCACTTAGTGACAGGTGCCCTTTTAAAGACACCACTTAGTGACAGTTACCCTTTAACACACCACTTAGTGACAGTTACCCTTTAACACACCACATAGTGACAGGTGCCCTTTAACATACAGTACTCCTGCAGCTCCTACAGTCACTACTTCTACTGCTATAGGATACTGCACCTTCTCTTACATCACCTACGGTGTACTTCACGATTCAGATCAATTCAGGTGAATAGAAAATTAAATAGCACATAACACCTCAAAGAATTTAGATTAGTTCTTCCAAATAAAGTAACTTTTTCAAAATGCAGTTGAATTCAACTCATCAGACCCTGATTTAAATGCAAAGAGTAATCCTTCTGTAAAAGTTGAAAAATAAATTATCCATTAAACATCTGATGCGAACAACTACACGAAGAAACACCCTCGGGAGTCCCCGCCGTGGGCCTCAATAACTCAGTGTTTACCTATCATGCCGAGAGTTTGTAGATCCTGGCGTGGGAAGTGATAGCGGTCAAAGCTTGACCGTCTGCTCCGTGACTGCTGGGACTGGGATGAATGTGACTGGTGTGAGCTCATGCCGGAGACGTGTGAACGATTGTCACTGTCGCTGCGAAACTGGGTCCCCGAGTCTCGATCCTTCATCAGTAATTCATGCTGTTCACGGTTGATATCGCCATTCTCTGCCTTCACTGTAAAAAGAAGGGCAAAAATTCAATTTCAAGAAGCTATTTTCTTCTCTTGATACAAAAAGTGACATGGCAATAAAACTTTTACTAAGATGACGTATTCACCTTTCCGTGCCTCATGACACATCGCAGTTGCAGGCAAATATATTGTCTTGGCATGAAAAAAAAACTTGTTTTTTTAGGCAACCAGCCAAAAAGAATATTGTGACAAGAGTCAGGTGAATGGACGTGATCTGATTTGCTAAACATAGTGAAAAGTGGTAGGTTTTAAATATACTGGTAATTTGATTGTAATCTTACCAATAAGACTTCTTGTGGACTGATGGTGGAAATATATTGATTGGGTATTCCCAAGTGGACAAAATCATGAACACAGTGCTAACACAATGTACGTCTGTTATAACACGGACATACCACACAGCTTTTTTCTCCCATACATACTTTATATCAGAATCTAATTCAGCCATTATAAAGTCTTCAGAGACACTGGTAATCAACTTGCACATTTTCCACTGTTACTGGTATTAGACACAAGCCCAGCTTTCTTGTCCATCATGCAGACACGGTTCAAACTTTCCATTCCCAAATGATTTTCTACTATGTTCATAAAGAATCAGAATTAATGCTTCTATGTGTGATCTTGTTTCTTTCGGGTTAGGCAAAGCATTTTGCAAAAATATCCACATATTTGCACAAACTGACTTAAAAAGTCATAAAACTTTTGTAAAACTGAAAATAATTTGATCACCCCAAAATACATATCCACTTGGCCTTATCTTTTTCTGATTTTGATAGATTTTAAAAATGCAAGTGAGTTTTTGTGTAGAAACCCTGAACATTAGATGCCCGAGGGAGTCGTAACACGACGCTTACATTCATCAAAACATACACAACATCGCTGGAATGTATAAGCTAATTTCATACTGGAAAAATATATATTCTTGAGGGAATTACCTTTGCAACAAAAGATTATCAAATAACTTTAAATAATATTGATCATTGGAAAGATTTAATCTAAACAAAAACAAAACCAATTGGTTCTCTTGCAAACAGGATATGGAGCGGACAGCGTGTATTCGCCTGTTGAAGCGTGTCCGAGTCCCATGATGCACTACTCACTGAGCCCCTTCCTCTTCTTCCTTTGAAGCAGCAGGCGGTAACTGCAGAACGCCGTGAGCGAGATGACCAGCGCCAGGTACGCACCCGCGATGCACACTGCGATAATGATGGTCTTCATCATGTTGAAACTCTCCACCTCATCTGAAGAAATAATAGGAAATGATATTGTCCATTCAAAAAGCATAACTCCAGTTTTTAAAAACTATTAGAGGCACATTGTTTCGTCGCCTACAGCTTGGTAATAGCAACAGTGCCACAACAAAAATGTGTGTTACAATTCAAGAGGCTGTCGACATGGCGCCGTTTCCAGTGTCTCACCTGTGATTCGGAGGTAGACTTCAGCGCGGACCACACCCGCTGTGTTGTTGGCGGCACAGCCGTACTTGCCCTTGTCCTCCATCAATACCTTCTCTATCAGGATGGTGCCGTTCGGGAACACCTGGCAGGACATAGGTAACATCGTCATCAAACCAAGTTAACATCAGTGAGTGAGTGAGTGAGTGAGTTTGGTTTAACGCCGCTTTTAACAGTATTCCAGTTATATCACGGCGTGTCAGCTTAATGTGGGAGGAAAGCCCGAAGTGATGCAGGTCTCAGACGTTTACCACTTCGGTGAAACCCACGAGCACGGGTATGGTGCTGACAAACCTAGAAACATAATCGGGGCGAACCGGGATTCGAACCCACAATCATAGGTTTCTGGCGTGCCCAAGGGACGCAACTCTGCACAGCGAATCGCGGCGCCTTAGACGACTGGGCCACCCGTGCCCTCAAGTTAACATCGGGAACACCTAGCAGGACATAGTCTACATTGTTATAACACCAAGTTAACATCAGGAACACCTGGCAGGACATAGTCAACATCATTATAACACCAAGTTAACATCAGGGAACACCTTGGGGACATGGTGTTGGTAACATCCTTATAACACCAAGTTATCATCAGGGAATGACCACAAACTGGGATGACAAGCCATTGATAACATCTTCAACTTAATATATTTTGAACACTTCAGGGAACACATGGTTTCGAAGACACCCTAATGATCTGTACATTTGAATAATCCATCAGTGTTCTCCCACAAGGTGCCTGCCTAATTCTGTCAGAGATAGACAGAAGTAAGAATGTATCTACTAGCAGAGTATAGTCAATAGACCTAATCCCTTGACAAATGGAACACATTCCACCTCATTAAAGTTGAAGTCACATTACCTATTTAGTCATGCTCAAAATTTGGGTGTCTAGAAGCCGGTACACTGGAGAATTTAGATGGCCCCGGCCAGTGTAAGACTGTTCTCTTACCTTGTATCGTGGGGACTCGAGGGGGATGAGATCCCCATTACGCTCCCAGACCACCATAGGTTTGGGGTTGCCCACAGTCAGACAGTGGATCATCACAGAGTGGCCTTCAAAGGCTGTCGTGTTTTCCGGGCGGATTGCGAACTTGGGCCGCTCTGCAGAGAACCACAGATAGCAAGGTTAACAAACAACTACAACAACAACACAGATTAGCTACTTGTCATAGCTACACAACAACAACAACGCAGATTAGCTACTTGTCATAGCTACACAACAACAACACAGATTAGCTACTTGTCATAGCTACACAACAACACAGATTAGCTACTTGTCATAGCTACACAACAACAACAACGCAGATTAGCTACTTGTCATAGCTACACAACAACACAGATTAGCTACTTGTCATAGCTACACAACAACACAGATTAGCTACTTGTCATAGCTACACAACAACAACAACGCAGATTAGCTACTTGTCATAGCTACACAACAACACAGATTAGCTACTTGTCATAGCTACACAACAACACAGATTAGCTACTTGTCATAGCTACACAACAACAACAACACAGATTAGCTACTTGTCATAGCTACACAACAACAACAACACAGATTGGCTACTTGTCATAGCTACACAACAACAACAACGCAGATTAGCTACTTGTCATAGCTACACAACAACAACAACACAGATTAGCTACTTGTCATAGCTACACAACAACAACACAGATTAGCTACTTGTCATAGCTACACAACAACAACAACACAGATTGGCTACTTGTCATAGCTTACTAGAGAAACATTTGATGCACAACCAGATCAGAGTTGAAATCATGAGGACGGACATCTCCAGTTTTCTTGCACATATTTCCACAGTTTTGCTACACATATTTCCTCAGTTTTGCTACACATAGTTCCACAGTTTTGCTACACATATTTCCACAGTTTTGCTACACATAGTTCCACAGTTTTGCTACAGTTTTGCTACACATATTTCCACAGTTTTGCTACACATAGTTCCACAGTTTTGCTACACATATTTCCTCAGTTTTGCTACACATATTTCCACAGTTTTGCTACACATATTTCCACAGTTTTGCTGCACATATTTCCTCAGTTTTGCAACACATAATTCCTCAGTTTTCTGATACACATTTCCACAGTTTTCACACTCTAAAAAATGACCTACAATCGATGGAGTACTCACCAACAACCTTGATGAAGATGGTAGTGTTTATGAACACCTGGCCTGACGTGGCGTGACACGTGTAGTATCCAGCATCAGTCATCTGGACGTTACGGAAGAAAAGCGTTCCGCGTTCCTGGTACACGTGATCCAGCGAGTCCAGATTTGTGGGTCCATGCTTCACCCACGTGACGGCAGGTCTGGTCTCGGCTTCTGCGTGACACTCCACCTTCCCATAGCCGTGCAGCTCCAGGAACGTGTTCTGGGGCCGAGGGCTGAACTTCAGCTTCCCTTCAAACAGAACAAAAAACTTAAAACAAATGGAATCTAATTCTGTAACCATAAATGTTTATTGGCATGGTGGCAGAAGGAATCTTTTATAAATCTTAATCTTGTTTTATGCCAACAGCATGTGGGTACTGCTGGAATCCTAAAAGACCAGACCGCCTCCGTGGTCTTGTGGTAGAGCGTCCGCCCGGAGAGCGGAAGGTCCAGGGTTCGATCCCGGGCCGCGTCATACAAAAAGACGTTAAAAGATTGTACTTGTTGTTACCCTGTCTGGCGCTCGGCATTAAGGGGCTAAAACAAGGACTGGTCGGCTCGGAGTCAGTATACTGTGTCTGAGTGGGGTATTCATGTTAAACTGCGGCATGGTATCTCAGTGAGCTAGCACTATAAATCGGCATCAGTCCGGACTAGTACAAGCAGCCACACACACACATACACGTGCATGCATGTCGCTATATAAGTGCAATAATCTTGGACGCGACGTTAAACCCAATTTCACCTCACCTCACCTAAAAGACCAATCTGGATTTGTTAAAACGGACAGTTTTTGACTCACTTTTGACCTTGAGATAGGCTCGGCTGGACACAATGATGGGATGACCTTCAGTTGTTGCCACACATGCGTAGTCTCCTGCATCTTCCAGAATGACCTTGGACATACGAAGGTCACCTGACTGCTGATTCATTCTGTGCCGTGGAGAACCCTTTGGGAATGGAAAGTATTATGTATAACATCCTCTTACACTTGTATACAACAGACCAATGTTTTATAGGTATGTCATGTCGTTTCCAGCTGTTTGATTGGCTAACATGGAAAAAAACAACCATTTTTATATCTTGATGCATACAAAAGTATAGGTCCTGGACACACAAATGTTTTAGCTGCTAAGATATCACAACCATTTCCTATTCAACATGGCTTCCAATGGAAAGATCCATGAAGATCCGGGGTAGAATAGGTCTACAGCAACCCATGCTTGCCATAAAAGGCGACAATGCTTGTTGCTTTTCATAAGAGGCGACTAATGGGATCAGGTGGTCAGGCTCGCTGACTTGGTTGATGCATGTCATCATATTCCCATTGTTTAGATCGATGCTCATGATATCAATCACTGGATTGTCTGTTCCAGACTCAATTATTATTATTCATATAGCTGGAGTGTGGCGTTAAACAACAAAGGGAGTGAGTGAGTGAGTGAGTGAGTGAGTGAGTGAGTGAGTGAGTGAGTGAGTGAGTGGCACTGACCACATGTATGGGGCTGTTGTCCTTGAGCCAGGTGATGGTGGTCACGGGGTAGGGGGTTCCGACCACCTGACAGTTGAAGTCCACCCCCTCGTCCTCCTCCACTTCCTTCGGCTGGGGGGAACGACTGACGAATGGCGGCACTGCAAGAAAACAGGACATATTTAATCACAGTCAAGATTGACTAAAATTTTAACTTATATATTCTTTCAACATGACATTTTGGTAAAGGTGCTTATACCCTTACTAGGTACCCTTAATGAACATATCTGAGGTTCATACTCAAATCTGCGTGCAAAAAACTGAAGACCATATTTAATGTCATCTATTGGGTTATCTACAGAACTACCTTATTGGACATATGAAGTTTATGTACCTTATCAAAGACTGAATATTTCAACATTATCTAGGTCAAACGTCTTTATACTCTAGAAAAATATTGATTTACAAGAAATATGGTTTCAAACTTGTAACTGCAGGGCACTCATCGAACTTATCATCTGGTAACATGTGTAAAAAATGTGTAAATTATTAAACTTATGCAGCTATATGGACCTCAGAAATCTGGTCAATTTTATTGTACAGTTTCCCAGTAAAAATTGAAAATCAAGTAGAACATTTGTGTATATCTGCGATATAAATTATGGATATATTGTATATGTATATACTCATGTACCATCGTTTGTGGTTTGGAGACTAAACTTGATTGATTGGTCGCCTATAACAGTTGATGTAAGTATGTGGAGGGGCCAGATCAGTGGGAAGCAAACTCAGTCATCAGATGTTTGGCTGATATAGGTGCCATTAGGGGTCACTTCAGGTCGTCCGAATACATTAGTTAAGAAAATATGAATATGTATCTTAGTGATAATTTCATATTAAAAAATCTACTTCAAAAGACAAATATTCATTAATATTTATTGCTTATAGTCTCTACATATTTCATAAATTTGTTTTAATACTAAACTTGTCATATATAATCACAATCTGTTCTGGGTATCACACTCTCCATGTATATTGAGACCCAGGAAGCCGCCTGGTGGCTCTTCCAATCACCTCCCCGAGGAAGTGAACGGTAAAAGTGCCCTAGATGAGTGACAGGGCGTAGGTCATGGCTAGCAGGCCTACTTTGTCTCTGCAATAAACGCTGATGTTTGTAAACTTTATGCTTTGTCAGACACAAACATCCTTTGAAGGTGACAATAAATCGTGGGCTTCTGACAAACCAACACGGACATGCTGCATTCATTTACAAGACAACACTACGTACTCTCTGGTTGCGAGGCAAAGTTATCATAATAAAAATGTCATTTTTCTGTTAAATATACAAATGTAGCTTCTGGCTGCGAACTTAAAGAGCATGTTACAGGCAGATGAAATGGGGGGAAGGAGGAAAACGAGAATACCATCCGTTACTCCTCCTTATTTCCCTCCATTCAACAGACAATGTTCAATAACATAATCTTTAAACAAATACTTACCATGAGTTGACTAAAATCAACTTAAAATGATATCAAAAGTCAACCAGAAGACTCAAACTGTTTTGAACAGACAGCGGAAAACTTTTAAAACTATTTTCACATAAACCTTATATTCTTTTAAAATATCATTCAAGTTTGAAACAGGGCTTTTGATAAGTAGTCTTTAGGCAAGTATTTCTGTGATTGTGCGACCATTGCCTTACTTGTATACAGCACTTTAAACCATCACAAACCTGAAGAGCTCCTATATTAATGGCCACCAGAACGGGCTAAAGTTTCTGTTAATGTGCACTTTCAAACACATTTTGAATAGAGTGTTTCATATTTTAAGAGCCCACTCCCTCATCAACACATCTCAACATTCTCGAGAGCTGCAGACATCTTCAATACGTGCTGCAGATTCCTAACGTCCATGCCGTCCATGCAGTGTGATGGTGCTGTACACACCATGCAGCACGTCACTGCACGACAGAATACTTCCATCTCAACAGTCAGGACAGGGAATAAACCTAACTCCAGCCTAAGTAAACATTCATGTTTACAGCCATTTTACAAATGTTTTGCCAGTTTAATATTTTATTTTCTCACATAATTGATTTGAGGAAATAGATGCAAGTACAACCAGAACAGGATTTCATATGGAGTTCGCACATAAATGCTAAGCGTCTGTTAAAATGTTAAATGTTCTCAAGTGAAGCAAGATGCGTCGTTTACCACTACAGATAGTAACGAGATGAAGCCGAAAAGGAAAGGACATTTGTATTAAGTTTCTTTTCAAGAAGTAACACACATCACATGTCGACAGAGCGTTCACCTTCATCTTGCAGCCTGAATGTCTCACGACAACTCTCTCCGAAAACATATTGATTAAATCTGCATTAAACATACTTGCCACACAGCGACAGACGAGGACATAATCATTTTTAAAATTATTTCAGAGACTGTCGAGAAATCTAAAACAGAAGTAGGTTTTGCTCAAGATTTGGATACCATTCCCAGAATAAAAATGATAATTGTTCAAACAGATCAGCGGAATTTTTAAGAATTATTATTTTCATTACAGGGCCGATATGACAATATGTTTTCTCTGCGACAGATGGAATACATCAAGTTAGCAGAAGAGTCTGTGTGATATGACGGAATCTGAAGCTTACTGCTTATATTCCCAGCTGACATAACATATTTATTCACCAGACGCATTACTGACAGGAATCAGGTGTGAGGTGCCATCCACCCAGCTTTTACTTGGTCCAGATGGAACTTGGGGATATGACTACAAATATTGAGCAGTTGGTATACTCTTAACAAAGTTGAAAACATTTCCTCCCAAATATAAAAATACATAGTTGTAAAAAATATACTACAAAAAAAGTTAAGAACACACGATTCTTTCATTTTCCTACAGTTAATCAGTCTTGCAATGACAGGTTTTTGTTTGTTTGCTTATTGTTTAATGACGCACTCAGCAATATTCCAGCGATATGACGGCGGTCTGTAAATAATCGAGTCTGGACCAGACAATCCAGGATCAAAATCATGAGCATCGAACCACCCGAAGGGGATACAATGACATGCATCAACCAAGTCAGCGAGTCTGACCACCCAATCCCGTTAGTCGCCTCTTACGACAAGCATAGTCGCCTTTTAGGGCCAGCATGGGTTGCTGAAGACCTATTCTACCCCGGATCTTCACGGGTCCATGACATGTTAACTTTAGTAATATGACAGAATTCTGAATAGCATAAAACAATTAGGAGAAACCCTTAAACACCACCTTTATCCCACTATATGACCTCTCCATGTCTGTCGACTAAACCATCTCCTACATTCATTCCTTGTCCTCACTATCTGTATCCCAAGGAAGAAGGCCTCAGACAACACTGTCATATCAATCTGTGTTTTAATATTTATCAAAGGATATCATCACATGTTGTTTAAACTGCTCAAGAACTTGCTAACTTGGAGAAGATAATGAAAATTTGCATCGTAACTCCATTCAAATACCGGTAAAGAATGAAATTACAGATCAGTGCTACAGATACGCTTATGGTTATTTGGGTATTTTACCCATGGGTTTGATTTTGATTGGGTATCCACAATTTTTAGAGGGTATTCAAATATTTTATATCCAACTGTTTCTTGACAATTGGGTATTTTAACTTGAAAACCGATTTCAAAGAATCACTGTAAATCTACATGAATAGAAGCTTTCCCGTCTGCATTTGTTGCATCTCTTTCTTCGGGAAGCCATTTTCGTTTGCAAAATATTTTGATTGTAAGAAAGGCACTATTTTTTTAATAACCAACAGCAACTTTTATGATCCATTGACTAGAAGAGATGTGCTTTTCATTTGGAATCTATTCGAGTTTGTTTGTCGCACAAGCTCTTTATCTAACATTCACAATATGAGTAATCATTTTATCTAAAAGTTGTATTATTAGTTTTATTTCAATAGCATATTTATAGTTTTTGTTGCGTATTTGATTTGTCTGAGTATTTCAGTGTATTTAATGCATATTTTACACAAATCCACAGCTTATCTGGAGCTCTGACAGATTTTAATGAAACAGGTTAGTTGCAAAAAGGTGATAAAAGAAATTCCTTTTGGATAAAACCTCACAAATGTCTGGAATGTCACCAACAAACTATCCAATAAAAATGTCTAACAGTAGGATCAGATAGATGTCTCACATATTTACAAACAAAGCAAGTACATAAACACTAATCCCCACATGGGGACGAGACATGGTGATCCTGGGCAGAAAAAAATAATCACAATTATGATCATTTTAAGGAAAAGTTGAAAAACAAAAACAGCTGCCCACATGGACTAATGGTATTTTTTCCAACAAACACCAAAAAAAACATCAAGAAAAGTAATGCAAAAAGGTTGTGTATGTTTTTTATGAGGTACGGATGTTGAGCATCGCTAGGACCATGGACCAGTGATCCGTGACGGCCCTCTGTCTTGTATGAGATTAGCATGGCGATGTCGTCAGTCTGCTAAATAGATGAATACTGGCTTGTGAGTGTGGCCAGACTCGGCTGGTTGTTCTGCCATCAGCAGAGGGCATACACTCACTACAGGGCATATAAGCTCTTTACACAGCGTAAACAATGATTCACAAAGCGATTTTAAGAGATTTTTATATTAACTTTCTTTGTTACAAGTTGGTTTTTTACCATGCAGCTGGTGCTGTGGTATATCATAAATTTAGAAGTTTTTGGTCTTCAGATAAAAAAATTCCTGGACATTATCAGTCCCTAGAATTTTATATTTTTTTTATTTTGAAATAACAAAACATTTCAAGACCGATTCTATATGATAAGATAACAATAGGTAACTGCCTCAATCATTCCCAAAATTAATCCTCTTACAACAAAAAGAAATTCTCAGCTCAAAATATCAACTAATTTTTTATTTCAGTACATGGATCATAAAACAATAACTAACTAGCCAAGGGCAATTCCTTATCAATTGCTGACACACACTTACACAGTGAAATAACATACATTATATATCGCTGAAATTAATACTTCTGAACTGAAGTTAAAAACTGTTTTAACATTCATAAACATGACACGTTTATCAGGGTCAGACGTCTCTCCACAGAATACAAACAGGACAACAGAAAATCTTAAATGAAAAATAACGGCAACAAACTCTCACCAAGTCACACCCAGGAGAAATGAGCATTTGGGGGAGACCCACCTTTATAAAGACAGCTTGTAGCCAGCAGAGAAGGTAGTACGATGCAACGCTACTTAAAGGGGCTAAGTCAGGATAATTACGAGAGAGTAGAGATTTAACATGAAGTTACAGCTGCTGTGATCGGAGAGCGTTTGACAAGCAGCGAGATGTACACTGGTTTCCTTGCCTACATAACAGATTCATCTTAAAGATGAGAATCTGGGGCCAATTATCGCAATAAAAGAAACTTGGCTTTTTTTTAAGCATCTGAGGTATTTTCAAGTAATGATCATATCATCAAACAAACGAAATCTATTAAACAAATAAGCATTTATCTAAAAGATTGTATGGAGATTAGAGAAATGTATTCCCTTTGAATGGTGTGTGATTACCTGTGGAGAGAGCAGAGGCTACAGAACATCTTGATTCACCGATATCACTCAAGAAGCTTTTTTAATCGTACAGACATCATTTTTCAACTTCAACTACACTATGTCACAGATATGGTGTCTTGACACAAAACATTGTTCACTCCAATGAATACTCCACGTCATGAATATTCACATCTCAATGGTTCCCTTAACCAGAGGGTGTCAGGATCTAGTGCAACATGAAGTGGAGAAAAACCTGTGTTGGCAAATGTGTTGTCTACAGGTGCATGGAACGGTTCATTGTTCACATAGGGGGGAGAGGCAAGAGGTGGATTATACACATAGCCTATGAATTATCTGAACATATACTACTCAAAAAATGTAAAGGATCATCTGATTCTTTAATATTACTATAGTCAATCTGTCATGGCATGACAGATCAACTATAGTAATATGATAAAATTGGGTGGTCCTTAACTTTTTATGAGTGGTATATTATAGATAGATTATATTTCATTAACATTCTAGTTAGGAACACTTGGAGTTGGTCGTTTATTGTAGCTCTTGTCGATGTTTTTGTTTTAATAGCAGTACAAAAGATACTGACAAATCAAACAAGGCCCAAATATGGAGAAAAAAACCAGCTGAGCCCCAATTCCCCTGTGATCTCGAATGTTTAAGCAAATCTGTAAATATAGCTATATAAAAAAATAATATTATCTGTTTCAAAATATGTCTTGGAGAAAGTCCAAAATCTTTTTTGGGCCTGACAAACTTTTAATTACTGCTTTTATTATCAGACTGACATGATGACGCCCTAATTCATCTTTCTGCAGATAGTTTCCAGCATTTGAAGCTTGTGATTACGAATAAATTACCAAAAGCTTTTACCACCTCCGTGGTCTAGTGGATAGAGTGTCTGCTCGGAGAGCTAAGGTCACATCATACCCAAAGACATTAAAAGATGGTACTTGTTGTTTCCCTGCCTCAGTGCTCAACATTAAGTGGAGTCAGTATACTGTGTCTGAGTGAGGTATCCATGTTAAACTGAGGCATGGCATCTCTGTAGGCTACCACAATGAAACTGACATTAGTGCATTCACGTCGCTATATATGTGCATTAATCTTGAATGCGATGTGATACCCAATTTCATCTCACCACCTCAGCAAACACATAAAACCACCCTGTGTTGGCTAGATGTAGATATTAAGATTTCATCTTGTAGAATCACAACAGTGTAGGAGGTAGGCTATAACACTGTGTACACTGAGCACATCGGACAACGATCTACCGGCCAATTAGTTTACGTCATGTTTTTCCTGATAACAAACTGCAACTTTCGCACGGCTTTGTAATTTTCTAATTAAAGCAATTTTGAGTGACACTAATTGATACAAGCTCTATGTAGCAGGAGGATGGTTAGGGTGATAAGACACACTCTCACGACAACCAACAATAAAATACTTTACAGATATTGTCAAAACATATGAGCATGACTGTATTTTATACAATACGTTATCACCAAACATACCCAGCAAGCTCTTAAACACCCACACCAACACTAGTTGGGAGACCCCTACTGTTCACGGCCTGTTTTATCAATTTCTTTCATATTATTTTCAGGGCTTAAAAAAAGACATTTTTTCCTTATGCTTTGATTTGAAGTGTTAAATAAACAAAAGAAGTGTGAGACAAGCTGATGAAACTAATTGCGAAGAGTAGAGATAGAGCCTGCACGGCCCCCTGGTGGCAGGCCTGCAATAGCACAGTATGGGGTAGACAACTCTCGCAGTATGTTGGGAGGACAGGGTGTTGGCTAGAAAATATGTCAGCCTATCTTGGCAAAAAAAAATATTTAAAAAATAAATTTGGAGATTTAAGATGGATATACACCACATGACGCAGTCATTATGTTGTCAATCAAGAGGCTCCTACAATATATAAAATTCTTTCCATATTTTGTAAATATGAATATTTTCATAAACCTAACTGACGCTTTATCACAAAAATCCCTTATCCAGCGGATTTAATGCAGATTACATCTGTAGCACACATGACTATTCCTGCATTCACGGCACCTTCCTTAACTCCGTTTTCAGGAACTACATTCTGAATTATTTAGAACATTTTCACATGCAAACCTCCTTGGTCCTATTATTTGCACTCTCTTCATCAAAGTAACACTAATAAAATCCATTAAAGATTACTGTCCTCCTGGGACTAAATATACCACATCATTGCTGAAGCTCACCTGGCCAAGCCACACTGTTGTTGTAGACAGTCTTTGATGGGGTTCATTGCATGCATTATTCTTATCAACCCTGTCGCCTTTTCCAGTTTGACTGTTACATATTTAAATTGAGAACCCTCATTCCTTCAGGGTTCAGGGACCATCTCACAACACCTTGTATCAATTTGACGAACAGTAACACAGGAGATCACTTCAACTGTGACTCATAGATTATTTCATCATTGAAGCTCACCTCCTCAATACATGAAATCTAATTATTATGTTGTTCATCACAGCACTACAGACCTGACTCTATCATATATTCATGAAGCTAACCTTCCATAACTAACATGACACTCTGCTAGCTCACCTGACATCATGAGCCAGACTCTCTTCTTCTTACCACAACTAATGTGACAAAGAGAGTTAGCTCACCTGATATCATTGGCCAGACTCTCTTCTTCTTACCACAACTAATGTGACAAAGAGAGTTAGCTCACCTGATATCATGATCCCGACATTCTTCTTCTTACCACAACCAATATGACAAAGTGTAATAGCTCACCTGATATCATGACCCAAATGATCTTCTTCTAACCACAACCAATGTGACAAAGAGTGTTAGCTCACCTGACATCAACATCCAGACATTCTTCTTCTTACAACCAATGTGATAAAGAGTGTTAGCTCACCTGATATCATGATCCAGACGCTCTTCTTCTTCTCTCCTGCAGTGTTGTTGATGATGAAGGTGTAGTTGCCCGAGTCAATCTCCTGCGGCTTCTCGAACACCAGTTTGTTGCCGTCCACGTGTATTGGTCCAGCTGAAGCAACCACCAGATCATTTCGGTCCAAGAACCTGAAACACAGAATAAAGTTGATGAGACAAACACCTACAAGCCTCAAGCTACCATGAATTTAGAAATTACGCGATTCTGATTGGTCAATCAGAGATTATCAAATAAACCGTTGCTAATTTGGTTCCAAATTCCATTTGGCAAGGTCAAATCGACAGCTCTACAATGAAAACACAATATGTTTATTTCCTAAAGAAATTTATTTAGCATCAGGAACACCACTGAAAGACAGGTTCAAATCTCTAGGTCTTAACTCTTAAAAATGCCACAAGCATCCCTTTAACTGAAGTGGTCTTAACTCTTAAAAATGCCACAAGCATCCCTTTAACTGAAGTGGTCTTAGATCTTAAAAATGCCACAAGCATCCCTTTAACTGAAGTGGTCTTAGATCTTAAAAATGCCACAAGCATCCCTTTTAACTGAAGTGGTCTTAGATCTTAAAAATGCCACAAGCATCCCTTTGACTGAAGTGGTCTTAGCTCTTAAAAATGCAACCACCATCCCTTTAACTGATGTGGTCCTCAACCTTAAAAACGCCTGAAATGCGAAGTGAGCCCAAACTCACTCACTCACACATTACAGAAATCATCTTTCACAATAACGCTGATTTCCTGTTCGCTTGAATCTGCAATCATACTACTAGTTGACAAATACCCCCATCCCAAGCATGCCGTCACTTCCTGGTTGGATGCTGGGATTCAGCCGTGTCCCATTGACGGTCCTTTGATTGGAGTGGTGTTGATTGCTCAACATCTACACACAGATGTGTCATAATAAACCTAGTTACCTAACACAACAAACAAAGCAGGTGCCCTCTCTACCTGATCATGGTGGGCATGCAACAACGGAACAGTCTGGAACCCATGAAACTTGTGGTGATACATAAATACTTGCACGTGTACTATCCTCCTGCCAACCTCCTGCACTCAGTCATACGCACTCCCATGATGAAGCCATCAGACTCACAACATACAGCATCGTTTTATAAATTATTAAAATATTTCAACAATTCTGTATTAACTAACATCAGGTATGTACTTGTTTGAACAGCATGAACTAATGATCAATTTTCAGACATGACAATCAGCATTTCACAGAAAGTCTTCTCGGCAGAAAAAGGAAATTGGTCGCGTCCCTGAATTTAACCTACTTCCTACGAATTTTCAGCCTTTATCAGCATAAAAACTATTTTGAGACATGGCAAACAGTAACATTAACTCTACAAAATCCACAAAATTTTAGCAGTTATCAGCTTGAATTGCGTTTCGACTCGCGTCTGCTTATTTTCAGTGTGGAGTGTAAACACACCAATGGTGGAAGTCTGACTGGTGATATGGTGGCAATGTTGTGCAATACAAGAATTAGCAGTGTAATTTCCACAGTTATCAGCTGTTTAGTTGCAGGTTTCACATTTATCTTCATAGATTCCTAGCTTTAACACAGCAGAACTAATTTCCTGATTAAACCCCCATCAGAGCTGATGTAAGCAATGTAACGGGCCTAATTCCGCCTCCAAACATGCCCATCTGCAGCCATCCATGTGGTGTATGTTGTTCCACACTCCGAGCCATCAACCAACTCACTTGTCTCATCTTTGATAGCCCAGACATTTCTTCCTGTAGGAAATATACCTAAAAAGCTTGGATTGAAGTTCAAAGCTATCTTGTGGATGTGATTGCTTGTCAGGATGTCTCGTCGTCACCATTTCAATTTTATTATCCCGGAACTCAACTAAATACTCTTTTAGGGACTGAAGCTCATTAAATGCAATGAAAATAATTAATTTTTGTGAATAAAAAATATAAGAACAACAAAAATCTATCCATGACTGATTACAATTCTGCATTCTGATTGGTCGACTAGCTAATGAATCACCTTAGAAGAGATATTTCTGTATCAAATCCACATTAAACAACAGGTATAACTGCCAAGTATACTGTGATTGGATGACACATGTCATCGTTAAACCAAGACAAGCAGTAATTCTACAATGGAACAGACAAAATAGCCCGGTCCAAAAAGCACTGGCTTCCTCACATCTCATGACAAGACAGGAATAAAGATGTAGAATCAAAAGAATGGATCTCTCATAAGACGGAACACATTGGCACCAGCACTGTATTTACCATTCCTGATAATCTCCCAGTTTACTACCTCTAATCTTGCCACTGTAATGCAATGACTCGAGTCAGCTACTGGGGCACCCTGTATCGCAGGCATCTGCCTCTGGCAAGACCAATCTTATCGCTGATAAATTAAGTGAGCTGCATTTTCCGCTCTTTGGCAGTGTTTTGACGGAAAAGAAATCGTAGAAAAGATCCCAGCACTGGTATGACTGACAGCCAGTCAATATTGGAATAAATACATTTATTCATACAACATCGTACTAAGACTGTCTGGTTGTAGGAATTCAATCTAGTGTGTATGTGCCACTGGGAATTCTATCTAACGTCATCTCCCAGAACAGGGTCTTAAAGTCGCCAACTACACCAGCCCTGAATCTCCACACAATATTGATGTAACCAGTGTTACGCCCGTCTTACAGGGACTGTACGGAAGGTCCAGTGGAGCATCCCATCATTATTGAGAGACCTGCTTCCGAGTGAAAAGGTTTCTTAAAATAACTTTTTTGTTTCTCATGACCTGACCTGACCTCCCCTAAAATTGCCCCTAAATAATTCTTTTTATTTAAAATCACTGATAAGATACATTTTCAACTCAAAGTTAGTTTCTTCCACCAAATTCCACTTTCTTGCACCCTGAGCTGCAGGGACGAGGCCAACAGAGATCACATGCTAAATCAGAAGCAGGGGCAAGTATAGTTTCACAGATTTGTTGCCTGCTAAAAACATAAAACAAAAGATAAAATAGTCCCTCCCTACCATTCAGTCATGAGAAACAGGAACGTATATTCAACTGGCCTTTCAATTATGGCCATGCCTGAGTGTGATTCATCAAACCCGTTGTTCATGCCATCAGTCACCAGTCTGCTTGGCCAGATTACATGGGCCATGGTAGGGCTGGAAAACTGCTGACTTCAGCATAAAACAAAAGTCACTCACTCACTCACTAAGTACATAAACTCACTGCAGCCTCAGATAAGTTGATACTGACAGGGGTAAGATATGACCAACAAAATGGAATATTGATCTGTAATAACACTTGAAAAAAAACCATAGATGTTATTTTATTTTCATATTAAAACTGACTGCAGCATAAAACAAAAGTCACTCACTCACTCACTCACTAAGTACATAAACTCACTGCAGCCTCAGATAAGTTGATACTGACAGGGGTAAGATATGACCAACAAAATGGAATATTGATCTGTAATAACACTTGAAGAAAAACAATATAGATGTTATTTTATTTTCATAAACTGACTTCAGCATAAAACAAAAGTCACTCACTCACTAAGTACATAAACTCACTGCAGCCACAGATAAGTTGATACTGACAAGGGTAAGATATGACCAACAAAATGGAATATTGATCTGTAATAACACTTGAAGAAAAACAATATAGATGTTATTTTATTTTCATAAACTGACTTCAGCATAAAACAAAAGTCACTCACTCACTAAGTACATAAACTCACTGCAGCCTCAGATAAGTTGATACTGACAGGGGTAAGATATGACCAACAAAATGGAATATTGATCTGTAATAACACTTGAAAAAAAAACATAGATGTTATTTTATTTTCATATTAAAACTGACTGCAGCATAAAACAAAAGTCACTCACTCACTAAGTACATAAACTCACTGCAGCCACAGATAAGTTGATACTGACAAGGGTAAGATATGACCAACAAAATGGAATATTGATCTGTAATAACACTTGAAGAAAAACAATATAGATGTTATTTTATTTTCATAAACTGACTTCAGCATAAAACAAAAGTCACTCACTCACTAAGTACATAAACTCACTGCAGCCTCAGATAAGTTGATACTGACAAGGGTAAGATATGACCAACAAAATGGAATATTGATCTGTAATAACACTTGAAGAAACCCTACATAGACATCATATTATTTTCATAAACTTAAATTCTTAAGGGCCTCTTTACGAGCTGTCTCACACGTACATAAATAAGTGTCTCCGTCAATGAGTTTTATGACATCTATAAAGACTCGAGTTACCAGTCCAGCGTGATGTTCGGCAACATGCATGAAAGTCTGTGAAACTGTTTGCCATCCAACACCGCTGAGTGTCATATTGAGTAATAAGGCATGAAAGTTCAAAGATGATCCAATCTCTCGCATACTGCTATGACACCATTGATAACTCCACTTCCGACAATGACTTATGAGTTGTAAGTAAACATCTAATATTCCCGGGTTCAACATACAGTAAGAAAGTTCATCCGAAGGAAGTTTGGAATCTGCGTCCCTCCAAGTGCTTCTTGGAGTTGGACATCTTGATTGATGACCTACTTATACACCGTTATTACAAAGTCCTGAAAAAGATTTCTCCCGAAATACGAAATCAATACAGAAAGGCTCAACAAGTGCTTTGCAGAATGAAGCAGCCGTGAACAGTTTATGTCAGAATTGTTTACTTAAATGAAATATTACGAATATAATGGATTCCCTGGCCACATGGACTGGCCTGTGTATACCTCTGTTTAATCGCACATGCCTCGTTATTACAAGGGATCCCATCCTTTGTCTTTATTTTATTCTTAAATCTGTTCTTTCTCTGAGCTAATAGTTACTGATCTATTCTGACGCCTATATAGATATTCCTACAAATCAGCAACAATGGAGGTTGGGCAACGTCCAGGACTATCAGATGCGAGCGTCCCCAAATGTTGGCCCAAAACCCATTAAGATTACCCAGCTCATTGTAATACCACAAAAAAGTGCAATGTTGATACACAAGTGCATCATCTCCACCATTACATGTTAGGAACATGAAGTATGTCATAATCCTTGCAAGTAAACAAAGAACATTATCTCACAGAGCAATCTGTCAATGTAAAAATGTCAGTCGAG